ACCCTGAACAGTTGGGGCAAGTTTGGACATAATATTCAAGCTTGATACTGTCCGAATTTGGATTGTGATCAAATTTTTTACATAAGATAGGTTTCTGACACAAAATAAATGTGGTCAAAGATCTTAAAAATTTGAAATCTTTTAATGGGACATTTAATTTACCTAGTATTGTCTGATATCTAAAATCTAAGAACATGGTTAGATTCAGCATATAAAAAACACCAAAAATTTAATTTTAGTTGAAATCAAACAAAGTTTAATTTTGGACCCTTCAAACCTTAATATGGACTAATTTGAAAACAAGGCCCAAAATAAAAAAATCTAAATGCACAATAAGATTCAGCATATCATAGAGCAGCAATAATTCAGTTTTTGATGAAATCAAACAAAGTTTAATTTTTGACCCTTTGGACCTCAATGTAGACCAATTTAAAAATGGAACCAAATATATAAAACATTAATACAAGGTTAGAACCCCCAAAAATTAAAGACTTAATTTAATCCCATTAAAATTGATTAAAAGATTGTATTTATTTTCAACTGAAGATTTCTTGCTACTGCGTAATACTGTGCTATTGCACAATTGTTATATATAATAATTTACACACCCTGTTTGGTGTGTATCTCCTGCCATATCAGTATTTGTTGCTTTTATATATAAATCAGAAATAATCAATGTGAAAATGGAAAATTTTGGGAAAAAAAACCCCAAAAATTATAACATTCCCCCCCCAAAAAAAAATGTATAATTTCAGAGAGTTCCATAAACTTTAACAGCTGTTATTGTCTGGAAACTAGAAAAATGCTTATTTTTGGCCCCTTTTTTCTAAACGTTTAGGGCAATTACCCCCAAACTCAATCCAAGCCTTCCCTTTGTGGTATAGAACCTTGTAGTACAATTTCAGAGAGATCCATACACTTAAACACAAGTTATTGTCTGGAAACTAGAAACATGCTTGTTTTTGGCCCCTTGTTTTGCCCCTTATTCCTGAACGTTTAGGGCAATTACTCCCAAACTCAATCCAAGCCTTCCCTTTGTGGTACAATTTCAGAGAGATCCATACACTTGCGCACAAGTTATTGTCCGGAAACAACAATAAACTGCTTCGCTGACACAGAATAAATGTAGTCAAAGAACTTGAAATTGGTTGTATGATTTGAATTTATATTCAATTGAAGATTTCTTGCTGTTGTGCAATACACTGTGCTGTTGCGCAATACTTAGTAAATCTGTTTTCAGACTATATACCAAGAATTAGCAAAATAAATTGTGACCCGCAATTTTTTTCTTTGGAAAATTTACTATTTCTTAAATCTTGAGGAAAAAAAAATATTCCCCCCCCCCTCCAAAAAAAAAATATTTGAAGAGAATTTTCTTTTGAGGAAAAGAAATTGCCCCCCTCCCCTCCTTTTCCAAAAAAATTAATTTTTGAAGAAATTTTCTTTTTGTAAAATGTGGTACAAATTAAGAGACATCCATACACTTAAACACAAGTTATTGTCTGAAAACTAGAAAAATGCTTGTTTTAGACCCTTTTAGACCCCTAATTCCTGAACGGTTTGGGCAATCACCCCCAAAATGAATCCCAACCTTCTACTTGTGGTATTGAACCTTGTGGTACAATTTCAGAGCAATCAAAATACTTATACAGAAGTTATTGTCCTGAAACTAGAAATATGCTTGTTTTGGCCCCTTTTTGGCCCCTAATTCCTAAACGGTTGGGACCATCACCCCCAAAAACAATCCCAACCTTCCTTTTGTGGTATTGAACCTTTCATTTGATTTCATAGAGATCCATACACTTAAACTTAAGTTATTGTCCAGAACCCAAATGTCTTCGGACGACGCTGACGCCGACGACTAAGACGACGTGATACCAATATACGACTGCCAAAATTTTTTGCGGTCGTATAAAATTCTTGTTTTTGGCCCCTTATTCCTAAACTGTTGGTACCATAACCCCCAAAATCAATCCCAACCTTCCTTTTGTGGTATTGAAATTTCTGGTAAAATTTCATAGAGATCCATTCACTTAAACTCAAGTTATTGTCCGGAAACCAAATGTGTCTTCGGACAGCGACATAGACGACATGATAGCATTATATGAACGCAAATTTTTTGCAGTCGTATAAAAAGATATTAGTTACATGGTTAAGAATTCCGAGTCGAGGTCGAGTGAACCCTGTCTGACAGACATGTAGACTTTTCTTATCCTATTACTCATAAGAAGTGAGTATTGAACAAGACAAATAACTAAGCTTTTTTTTTCAACAGCCACTGAACCAAGAAAATGAGGTCAAGGACAATGGACATTTGAGAGGGAAACTTCGTAATGTAAAGTTTCTGCATGAAGCATTCAGGTCTGTTACCTTCTGAAATATAAAGCTATATACAAATAGTTTTCGTCGATGACGGACTGGAATCCCCGTCTCGCATTCTGTGACTTTCCTTGCAAGCAAGACAAAAACTTAATGTTGACCAATGAACCATGATACAAGGTAAAGGTTAGATAAACCTTGTCAAACAGACATGTACACTATACAGTCATTCCTTACTCCAATAAAATGCTCCGCTGGGGCGCAGCTTGATACGACCGCAGAGGTCGAACCCTGAACAGTTGGGGCAAGTATGGACACAACATTCAAGCTTGATACAGCACTGAATTTGGATTGTAATTAAATATTTGACACAGCATAGGTTTCTCACACAGAATGAAAGTGGTCCAAGAACTTAAAAATTTTTAATTTACCTATTCAAACCATATCATTATTATTTGCTTTTATATATAAATCAGAAATAACCAATTTAAAATGGAAAATTTTAAAGAAAAAAAAGGAAACCCCCCCTCCCCCCCCCCAATTTTTTGAACCCCCTTATGATTCATCACCCCCAAACTCAATCCCAGCTTTCCCTTTGTGGTATGGTACCTTGAAGTACAATTTCAGAGAGATCCATACACTTGAACACAAGTTATTGTCTGGAAACTAGAAAAATGCTTGTTTTTTGGCCCCTTTTTGGCCCCAAATTCCTAAACTTTTAGGGCAATTACCCCCAAACTCAAACCCAGCTTTCCCTTTGTGATATGGAACCTTGCAGTACAATTCCATAAAGATCCATACACTTACAAGTTATTGTCCTGAAACTAGAAAAATGCTTGTTTTTTTGCCCTTTTATGGCCCCCAATTACTAAAATTTTGAGGGAATTACCCCCAAAATCAATCCCAGCCTTCCCTTTGTGGTATGGTACCTTGCAGAACAATTTCAGAGAGATCCATACATTTGAACACAAGTTATTGTCTGGAAACTAGAAAAATGATTATTTTTGGTCCCTTTTTGGCCCCTTATTCCTAAACATTTTGGGCAATTACCCCCAAAATCAATTCCAGCTTTCCCTTTGTGATATGGAACCTTGTAGTACAATTTCATAAAGATCCATACACTTACACACAACTTATTGTCTGGAAACTAGAAAAATGCTTATTTTTGGCCCCTTATTCCTAAAACTTTTTGGGCAATTACCCCCAAAATCAATTCCAGCATTCCCTTTGTGATATGGAACCTTGTGGTACAATGTCAGAGAGATCCATACACTTATACACAAGTTATTGTCATGAAACTAGAAAAATGCGTTTTTTGCCCCTTTTTGGCCCCTAATTCCTAAAATTTGGAGGCAATTACCCCCAAAATCAATCCCAGCATTCCCTTTGTGATATGGAACCTTGTGGTATAATGTCAGAGAGATCCATACACTTACACACAAGTTATGTCTGGAAGTTACAAAAATGCTTATTTTTGGCCCCTTTTTGGCCCCTAATTCCTTAACTGTAGGTACCATAAGCCCCAAAATCAATCCCCACCTTCCTTTTGTGGTATTGAACCTTATGGTTAAATTTCATTGAGATCCATTCACTTAAACTAAAGTTAGAGTGCGAAAACTAATGTGTCTTCGGACGACAAGGACGACGTCATACCAATATACGACCACAAAAATTTTTTTGCGGTCGTATAAAAACCTATTGCTTAAAGTATCTGAGAAACAGACCAATGAACCATGAAAAAGATATCAATGTCAGATTAACCCTGCTCAACAGACGTATACACCTTACAAGCTTTCCATACCCCTTAAATAAAGTACTGCTTAAAGTAACTGAGAAAAGGACCTAATCACAAAAACCTTACCTTATTAATCACTTTTTAATGAAATGAGGTCAAGGTCAGGTGATACATGTCTGATGTACATGTATACTGCCTGACTTACATGTAAACCTTGATTCCTGATTATCCTATTTTCTCATAAGCAAGAAAGTCACTTGACTAAAAACTATAGCGTTGTTTACAATTAGTTGCTGAACCATGAGAATGAGATCAAGGACAAAACATCAAAACATAAGGCATCTTTATACAAAGTATGAAGGAATAAAACCAGTAATTCATAACCACATGGTTTTCTATGTTGAATTCTGCAATTTCAAGCAGTCATTACTATTTCGTCTCAAGTCTAAATAAAGTGACAGTCAACTATACCTTATCCTGACTTGTGCATGATAAATTGATAATACCTTTAATTGAATTTAAGATCGCACTGGTTCTCAAAAGTTTAGAAGTACAAAAGCAGATTCTTCTAATCTGAGCAATGCGAAAAATATGCTCTCCTATTTCAGTTTTATACATGTTTTTTATTATTTAAAGGAAACTTTCAACAAGGGTTCTACAGTGATCCCAAGTCTATATAGGCTTTCAATTGATACCAAAATTAGCAAAATATTATACCTTTTTACAAAGTTACAGCTATGCATAGGAACTATTTTGTGTAAAATGTGTACTACTTTCTAAGATATTCTTTCTGGCCTAGCCCAAATTAGTGTTTCTCTACCTGAAGCTTCCAGGTCTTCTACCTTCTGAAATTCAAAGCTAAACACAAGTACATAACACAGAATTAGACTGTTGTTGCAGGTAATGCAAAAACTAGTTTTCAGACCTGTGAAAAAGAACTATACAGTTAGAAGATAAATTATTTTAATTATTAAATATATATTGTCTACAATTCTGTAACCATTTTATGATATTTACAAACAAGTTACATACAATGTTGTCACATTCTCTCTGACTGAACAAACAACAACAAAAATCACATACCTAACATAATACTGATAATATGACAATCTTCATAAACTAAATAAAACGTATGAACAGAACAATGTTCTTTTGTAAGTTTAGCTAGCAATCTTCAAGTTTTAACTGCCAAAAAAAATCTGTATATCTGACAATTATAATACCCCTTGTTTATCTAAAAACTGTAAAAACATAAGGCTTATAAATGTAAGATAAAACTTTCACAATTACCAAGAATGCCTATCATCATGATGCTTTTGTCCATAAATGGTAAAACATCTAAAGAGGCAAGACTGTTAACATAAGTTTAAATCTGATAAACAGTTTTTCAAAGATTCAGGCTGGGAGAATATGACAAAGAAATAAATTGAATAAATATGACTTTGAAGCTACTTAATTTTTCAATGACAGTAAAAACCAAAAGATGTGTAGTTATATAAAGAATTCAAAATTTGCTGATGAAATTCTTGAAAAAATTATTAAGAATTGTGTTCTTAATTTATATTTGTCTTTTTTTCAGTTGCACAACCTGACAAAGACCAAATCATTAAACCATCAACTTTTATATATATTTAATGATAACGATGCAAATAATTTAAATTGCCAAACTGCTACTTTTAAAAAATTAAAAACACATTAAAAGAAAAGAGTATTCAATATTGAAATTTATAAAAAGAAATAAATAAGGAAAAAGTTCAGATTTGGCACATAAAACAGACTACACAGAAAAATGTGCTTACATTGATGAAGGCACAGCAATAAAACATATCACAGATTAAGAATGTATAAAAATATGTAACATCAAAAAATAAATACCATAAATTATACAGATACACTGGCATAACAAGGAGGACAACATAAAATGTAAAGTTTTAAAATTCTGAATGCATCCATTCTAAGATTTGTATATGAAATGCAATAAGATCTATTTATAATATTTGTCAACATTTGTTTGATACAATGTTGTTGGTACTAATGTTAAAACAAATATCAATTCAGTCTAAAGTCAAATTATGACTGAAATGAAACTGTCAGCACTGTCTTATATTAAAGGCACAAATTTTAAATACACATGTATTATGATAAAATTGAAAGAAAAAAACACTTACTTCAGATATAAATGAATTATTACTTAACTTTGTTTAGATACCAAAAAAAATTTGTTGTTTTACAATAAATACAAAATACCCTACTCTGTAAATATAAGGTCGACTATCAAATATTCACTTTACGATTGAATCAACATGGAAAACAAAGATTTATTTGTTTCATTTCCAGTCATAGTTTCCCAATATTTAAATAAAAGGGGTAACATTGACTATTTAAGGACAACTGTGGTCTCATTTACCAAAACTATGTTTTCAGACTTAAATGAAATTACTTTAGATAAGAACTTTTAAGAACTTTACTGAAAAATTCTATTAACTGTTGACACAAAGATATGTCTTGCCTGTTTGTGATTTTGATAATATTAGGCAAATCAAATGTTGAAATTCAACACTTTAACATGTAAACTATGCAAAAGTTTCAAAATCAATGAACCATAACTGAGGGGGCAGGGTCATATTATCTTCATGGAAATGAGATTTGCTAATGCCTATACAACTATATATCAAATATAATTGGCTTACCAATAGTATTTCCCTTAAACAGACCTATTTACAAACTTAAACATGTAAAATATGCATGACTGAGGAGGAATTATTTCCTTGGAAATGAGATGTGCAAATGCTTATACAACTGTTACATCTCAAATATTATTGACCTTCAATTAGCGGTTTCTTATCACAAACTTTAACAAAATGTTGACACTACCTTTGCTGGAAACAGCAGGTCTAAGTCTAGCATTTACAACTTCATTGAGGAGATACTAAAAAATGCTGAAAGTGTTGTCCAACCTGCATAGTGTACACAAAGGTACAAAAATTTGTGAAAGAAAGCTTTTTCTGTAATGATTCATAATACCCAAAACCTGATCACTTGCAAAGATAAAATGAAAAATGTCAATTCAAAAATAAAATAAAACTAATGCTCAACATTTTAAACTTCTGAAGTAATGACAAAACTCTGACCAATAATTATAGGTGAAATGTCTGCAACAAAATTCAATATGAAAATATATCTTATAAATAGAAATGACAAAAATAAAGATTTGTGTATCAATATCACATAGTTTACCCTATCACAGAAAATTCAGAAAATATGGACGGAATAATTGGTCTGATTGCACACTTTTTGTCCAGACTGTCAGGACAAGTGCCTACCTACTTACACTGTTTAGACAATGTGCTGAATTTGACATGCAGATGAAGCCCTTAGTGATTTCTTAACCTTCAATAAATATACCTTACAGTACTAATATCAATTCTGTATCTTGTTGTAATATTTGTAACATATTCTTTTTTTCTTTGTTTACAATTATTCCTTCTATTAAACTTGTAATTTATAGTGCTTCCCTATAAAAATAATTTTTGTAAGGGTCAATGCCATAGTTCAGCAAATTGTCTAACTTTTTCTCTGCACCCAGAAATACACTTAAATATCAACAATATATCAGAGAGTCTGTTCTGGATAGGTAACTGGGTCTGATGCAGGCATGCCATATATATACATAGGTGTAATGGCTTTAACAGTTTGTATTCTGTCAGCTGAGTACCGTAGCGTGGTTCTCTCTCAGTTCTATTTGACGTATGCGGAGATTATTAGATGCTCCTCTAATACGTTGTGATTTGGTAGACCTGAGAGAGGCAGAATTCTGGCCTTCTGATATAGATTGTTGAGATCCTATACGACTTATGTTACTTCCAGGGGTGGCTGATCCAGGATGTCCAAGATCAGGTCTCTGTACTACGGGGGCAGGGGCCGAGACCACTGATAGACCCGGCGGACCATTATTGGGTGCGACTCTTGGTAGGTCTGAAAGCAAAGAACAGACATATTACAAAATTATCATTATATTTTATCACAGACTGACATTTAACAAGACTTCTAGTGAAGATGCAAATTATACTTTTAATGGAAAAAAGTTTTATTGCTTGATATAATTAAATAAAACATTAACATACAAACATCTCTGAAATTACAGGCAAAATATGAAACAGCATTACAAACTTTCAACCATCATAATTTATACTTGAATAAATACATTTAAATCAATGAAGGATTTTATTATTGATAGCCATCATACATATACATATAGTGCAACAACAATATATATATAAATATAAATTGTAAATCCTGAAGCTAAATAAAACTTCTTACAACCTTTATATTAGGTCTTTTTTTCCCCCTTTTAATAAGTAGAAAATTGTTATTATGAGAATTAAATCGGTCAATATTGAATTATAACTGTAGAAATATATACAGCTCCAAGATGGAACTCATAAAAAAGAAGACATTGTCCTTATCACTGGATAGCAAGAAATTTCAAAAATAGAAAAATTCTTTTTCCTAGTTGTAAGTAAATGATTGTAAGTAAACTAATACTCTATAAAACATTTAGGATACAATGTAAATACATCTAGTTTAGCACAGGGCTTCCAAAATTATTTTTAGCCAGCCGGACATTTCATATATTATCCCGATTTTAATCCCTTAAGACTAAATAAATAAAAGGCAATTATGGTAATCAGTTGCCGAGTTGGCCTTCCCAATGATTAACATTAACAAAAAACGATATTAAACTTTCTTTGATTCAAATTCGAAGTTCTGACGTAAACTGTTAAATTGGAAGTGCATCATTCGTAGTGTGCAACATCAGCGTACTTATATTATCTGCTTAGACTCTTCATTTGTGCAAAATAATGTTGTCTAAAACTCTACTTTCGTTTTTAAATCTAAACCGGATGTTATCTTGACAATGGTAAAACATGGACCAGCGACGGATACGTAAATTCCGTGTACGTTTGCAAAGCATGAATGAGTGTAAGTAGCTCTTTCTACGTTATTTCTTCAAGAAAATATTCGAAATAAACGTGAGATAAAGGTATCAATGACAATTTAAGCATTTTTTGGAGAAATTAGGATGCATAATTAAATTTCACACCTGCGCACATGCGCACACGTGTACTAGTTCAAACAGATACATGTCTCTGGTTCAAACAACGTAGTTATGACGATTTTTCATTTTCACCTTTTTAATTTTTTCATCAAATCATATTTGTAAACGTATTTCTGATAATTTAAATCTTTTTGACTAAATTAATTAGATGCAAACCGCTGAAATGTAAGAAAATAACTTTGAATAGACCGATCAATGTCCGGTTCAAAATAGTTTACCTGTCACCTGAACAGGTAATTTCAGCTGTTCGACAACTAATTAGCCTTGATTAAAATGAGAAGGTTTTAAAGTAGGGGTTGTTTTGATAGTACTTAATGATCATGTCACTTTTATTACCGGAAATGTGTGGCTGTTAAAGGCAAAAGGTTGGGTAAAAAAAATCGCGAATTATGTTAAAATGACCGTCTCTTAAGCCTTGAAAACTAAAAAATAGATGTCCGTTTCATGCTTTGCCCAGCCGGACTTTTACCGGACTTTATACAAATGTCCGGAATATATGACCGTTTTGGAAGCCTTGGTTTAGCACAATAATAGCATATTAAAGAGCATTCAAACAAACCAATAGCAGTTAAAGGATTAATATATTATTGTATAGGTTATCGTTAGGCAGTGCAACGACAACCCACACATCCACCATGACATAATGAAAAGAGGAAGGATGCTGTGAAATTAACCGGGCAGGAATTTTGTGTACTTACTTACGCTCGGTAACTCCAAGGGTTTTGATGTGTTATTATCTGTGGCATGCCAAAAACTAATTAGAATTGACTAAATACATTCTAAGTACAACTAACATAATCTATCAGCTTATATGTTGCTCTTTTCAAAAAGCATGAATGGTCAGGAAGTTACCTTATAAATTTCATATGGGAATATCATTTAATATCAACCACTTTATAGGTACAGAAAAACAAGTAGAAAACTAATCATTTATTTGAAGTTATCAATCAAATTATTTTCCTTTTTTGTCTCTTCTTTCAAGAATCTTTCTGTCTTCTTCTATGATTAAACAAAAATTACTTCATCCTAGCTTTGATTAATTTAGAAAAATTTACATTTTAGCAGAATCCTTTTATTCATGCAGTTCTTGGACATACTGTAAGGAAGTTTGCTCTATCAGTGACAGCATAAATAAAAGCAAAATATAAACATATATGAACATCTAACAAGAGAGCGAACATCTAAGGAATGGTGTATGGGGGACTCTAAGCCATAACAAACACATACCTAAATGATACTGCCAAAGTGGGTAGTTTGAGTTGTGTGCAATGTAACGCCAACCTAACAGTGAAATTGGTGGATTTAATAATAAATAATCACATCAAAAGAGAGATAAATATTACAATAACCCTTTTTTTCCTTATCAAATAGTTGGCAGACAGACAAGCCCTGGCCATCCGTAAAACTGAAAATGGGATAGAGAAAGATTTACAACATCTATAGACAGATCAAAGCTTAATTCACTGCTTTTATAAAATGCATTCAGTTATTAACTTATTCATATTTACTTTCAAGTTATAACAAATAAGGTATTATTTAGAATTAACATAATCTTATTCACCATAACACGTCCATTATGAAAAGAAAATTTCCGAAAAATTCAACTAGTTTATATACTATGTATGTGATGCACAGAAGAAAACTCTAGTGCAATGCACAGAACATTAGTAACAATCTCGTGAATACACAAAAGAAATTACTGTGTGACTAAATTGGATATAAAAGTTTGATTTTAATATTTGTTTGTGAGCCACACAGGATTGTTAACTTTTTGGATGACAGGTGAACAAGTTAAAAACCACAATAATTCTGTCTAAATAATACCTTATTTACATTAGAAAAGTATTCAACAATGGTCATGATTGACTTGAATTTGATGTTGCATCACTGATTTAGCTAGGAAAACAAGAAAAAACACATTAAACTGAATGACATTTTTATATAAAGTTGTGTTCATGGCTAAAACACCACAGAAATGATCTCATTAAATTATATTTAATTCTAATCTGTAACATGCAGAGTAAATCCCTCACTAAACAATTTAAAAATCTTGGCTGCAGTTTCTGCATCTAAACAGCAAAGCACCAGAAAAGATAAGTTTCTCATCTACAATCTAAATAAATCTCCAACCCTATCAGTGATCCTACCGTTTTATATGCACCCACTGTTATCCATAAGGAATATGCAAGATGACAAAAGATATTTGTTAATTTCTTATTCTATAACTATTTGTTTAAAAAAATTCTAATGGGCAAAGATAAAAGTTTATTTTTAATTTCTTAGTAATAAGATTATCACCTCCGACATATTTTGCTGAAAATAGCATGCAAGTTAACTGTAAGCCTTTTTGTACATGCTGTTATTCTCCACATCATCAATTATTTAGATGCTCTATCAGAGAAATATTTTGTTCATTAAATAGCATGTCATTGACTTAGCAATAGACAGACAGCCTCTGATAGAACAAGATTTCATCATGCTTTTTATTTTACACAACAATAAAACTCAACACACGTGGGACATACGATGAACGACAGATGGCTGATCGAACAGGATTTTCTGCCACCACAAAAAATCCTACAACTTAAAAATATTGAAGAATATCAGAGTGAATAACTTAAGTAGTTATCAATACTCATTATCTGTAAATCCTAATTATTACTTCTTAGTTTGATCAATATTCATACTTTTAAATACATTTACATTTTGTTTTTGGTACTGGACTTGAATTTCTTTTTCTAAACATGTTTATTGATTAGTTTTGATTTCCTAAAGTAAATACCTTTCCATATTCATTTGCTTAACACAAATGAAGATAGTAAATCTACTGTGTATTTAAACAGTAGAAACAACCCAATCCTATTGCATAATACATGTATATACCATTTACAGATTAAAAACAACTAATAATTAGGACTCTTTGTGAGCAATTCAGTACTTAAATTTCAAACTTCAAGAATCTGTCATCACTTATAATAAAACTCTGGTGACACCATCAATTTGTGTGTAACTTTATCCACCTTTAATTGTGTGTAATTTTATCCACCTAAATTTGTGTGAAATTGTGTCCACCTAAAGTTGTGTGTAATTTTATCCACCTAAATTTGTGCGTAATTTAATCCACCTTAAATTGTGTGTAAATTCATCCACCAATAGTGGAGTGTAATTTTATACACCTAAAGTTGTGTGTAATTTCATCAACCTATAACTGTGGGATTCCTCACCTCCATCTTTCCTCTGGCCCTGGGCACTTAATGTCCGTTTACTGTTTGGCGTTGCTACATCTGATCTCCAGTCAGAAGCGTAGCCATTCCTGGCCAATATTCTGTTTCTCTCAGCTTCTGTGTCTAAAAGGTGTGATAAATTGCTTCTGAACTCAGATTCTTGGATAACAAGGGCACCCGAGTTTGACCTTGGATTTCCTCCTAAAGGTTTCTTCACAAACTTATTTCTCTGAAATGTGCAGTAAAGAATTCTCAGTCAAAAAACTTGCTTTGTTTATATAAACTGTAGTATTATTTACCAATTTTAAGACATTACTTAATCTATAAACTAGATAACAATTTGTTGTTTTAAAACACACTGTGCCTAGATAAAGAAGTAGTAACTATGGGTTGAAATGAAGGCAGGGCTTTACAGTCAGTCAAGGTCGTTAAACACTCCCACAGTAGTAAAGTAGGGCTCAAAAAAGTAAAATTCAAATTATTTTGAATGGATTTTAAGTTTTCATTATTTTAAAAAAATGTCTTCCAGTAATATAATACAGATTAAAAACAACTTCTGCAATAATTGATTTTCATGTCTTGTGATCTCACCTGATATGATGGTACTGTCTTCTCATTCAGGTTACTTAGACTTCCTGCCTTGCCCTGCCACGTGGAAACTCGTCCAGAATTGTAGTTAGGCTGATTGATAGATGATATAGAATTATTGTCATTATTAGTGAGGGTATGCATGGAATTGGTAAGTGCAGATGATAAAGAATGATCGTGATGATGGTGGTTGTGTTGCCGGCGTGTTAAATCCGCTTCACGACCACTCTGAAAACAAAACAAAACTCCTCCCAGTTATGTTAATAAAAGTATAACCTGCCACCGTAAATATACCAAGCGTGCTCCAGCTTAAACATTTTAGTGCTTAAAGTGAAGAAAACAAGACAGAAACAAAAAGAAACAAAATCACAAATCCTGTTAAAATTGAAATCACACTTAATTCTTATCAAACAGAAAAAAGAAAACCATCAGCAGTTTTAAAACTTTTGATTATTTGAAGACATTCAAAATTTAAATGAAAACTTACTGTCTTGAGTCTAACAAATGAAAATTGTAAAAAAGTATACAAATTCAATGCCACAAAGCTTTTGTTAGAAAAAGGTTATTAAAAAAATGCAGAAAAACAAAACTTTATAAATTTACTATTTTTTTCCTCTATTTAGTTCCTTTGGTCATGCGGTAAATCTAAAATCATTCAACAAAAAATCATAGTTTATTGAACAAACTTAACAACTAGCTAAATATAAGCATTCAAAAACTGATGGCACATAATGTCTCCATCTTTGAAAAAAAAAGAGTTTCAGCAAAAACTCTATTAAAATTATATACTATCTCTGATGCTTGAATCTATTAGTAAGTACTTTATCTGTGTGAATATACAAATAAAAAAGAGACAGAAATCATGCAACGAAATGAACACACCTAAACATAATCAAGCACCTATCACCAAGATCATTTTTACAACAGACATCACTGGTAACTCCATATATAACAAAATCAAGTGAAAATTACCAGCATGATGTCTCTGCACCACCAGCTACCAAGGTGTGAATCTAAACCTAAATAAATATATAGCCACCATGAAGGCTGTATAGAGGATAACATAAATAATACGCTTACCATGGATGTATAGAGAGTATCTACATCCTACGTAATATAATATGCTACAAAGCAATGGAAAAGTACCATAGCAAGGTTTGATACAAGCTGTGCATATATGTCTTACTTCCTTTTATCATACATAACTTTACTCTCTGTCAGAAAGTTTTGTGAAAGAGAAAAATATAAAACTTGAAACAAAATATCTGACATAACCATAATAACTTGTATCTTGTATTTATAGGATTTCAATGAGTTTCAAAAAGAGAACCATTTTTAAAATCAATTTAACAACCCTCATATAAAATTAAAAGACACTATGAACTTGACGCTCCATATGCACATTTTAAAAATTTATGATGATGCTAATCACCAAATATTAGAAATCTAGAAGAATGAACGTTAAATATGATAGAAGGAAGTAAATCGTATATTTATAGCAAAGTACTACCAGTAGATATAAAGTTCTACCAGTAGATATAGCCGTTTTGTCAGTAAGTATTTTGTGCAGGCAAACATAAACATTAGTGTAAAAAGTTAAATAGCAAAAAATAAAGTTGTAGCATACGTCAAGTGTAGAACAAAACTTTGTCACAAGCAAACTTAGCAACTCTATGTTTTAATAAGTATAGCAACATATATCTTAGAATCTAATCAGTGACCTAGTGTCCGAGTCCCAACCTCAGTACATTGTATTCAGTATTTTCTTCCTATAAACAGTGACTTTATATTTGAAATGGAGCTTACTTTTCTTCCAACAGGTCAGTTACCAAAATATATTTCTGTACAGAAAGATATGATTATGGGTTACAATACAGTCATTAACAAACAGCATTGAAATCAATATCTAGGTTTTGTATGTTAAAAACCACAAAATAATCTAAGAGTTGATGTGATTTATCACTAAGAGAAACACAGCAATGCAGATAGAAAGAGGTTGACGGGAATTTACATTGTACAACTTTACTTTTCCCCATCTATTTTGTCATGAAAAATGGCAACTGCTATCAATTCATAAGCTGTGTCAGAATTATAAATTTCCTAATAAGCCACCATCTTAACATTATTGCCACTTTAAAAAAAATAGTTTCAAAGTGAAGGTGCCGGAAGTGGTTGCTTGGAGAAACCACCACAATTGCTTCGAAATCAAAAAGTCTTCAAGATTATTATTTTCAAGCTTTGTCAAATTGGTCCACTGTTTATGTGAAGATTATCAAAAAGTCGACTGACAAAGATGGATACAATGTGAAGCTGAAAGCTCATGTGAACCTTTGGGTCAATCAAGTTAACAACAAATGATGAAACAAAAATAAAAGTACAAACGGCTGAATAACAAATATATAATGTTCAAAATTTAAAGTATAATTTAATAAACCCAAGGAAATTAATGTTCTTAAAAAAAGGGGGTAAACTATAATGAAGGTCACATTTGGTAAAAGTCATTAAAAAAGGAATAAGTAAGGATGGAAATGATTAGAAGGTAACATTATTTGACTATATAAGTTGGTTAATACAAGACAAAAAAATAGTAGTATTATCAGGTTCAAAGTTAAAACAACAATAAGCAGATGTTTATTTGCTGTGAAAATTTGAGCCTATCAAAACAAATGTTAAAGGTAAGATATTTCACATCAACTCAGCCAATCACAACACTGGTTACAAACCTCCAAATCAAACAGCTCTTCATTTTCAATATCATCTTGAGTGAAGGGCTGGTGTGTTAAAACAACCTTTCTATCATTGGTGCTATAAGATAGACGCACCTGTGGAAACTGTCTGTTGGGATCTTCCCTTGCATGAAAGAACACGCTGCTATCGTAATTTGTTCCATATCTATTATGACCTGATCTACTTGCATTCTTTTCAGTCTTAGTGATGTTTTCATTGGCTAAAGCATGGTTATGTCCAAAGTAGCGATCCAGTAACTTTTTGTAATACTGACGATCTTTTATTCTGATGGGGGCTCGTTGCCCAGCAAGGCATGATTCATTTTGCCGATTGGCACAAAGCCATCTGTGATTGTCCTGTGCAAGTGCAGAGAGAGAAAGCTGGTAAGGAAGTGATACATGCTGCGTGATATCATATATCTAATATAAACACTGAATCCTTCTTTTACAAGAATTTGATCAATAAATTCATCCTAACCTTTAACTGTTTTACTGTATGAATGATATGACTTTAAGCTAACTGACTCCCAAAATGATCAGCGTGTATATTAGACAAAGGACAAAATGGACAGAAAATTCTTCAGTTTTGCTCTGACAATCTGCTCAATAAACTTTAATTTGACAATAATTTTGTTGTTACAAGTCAGATACAAGAATACTGAAGTATTTTCCTCCACATTGTTACCCTAAAACATATGCGTTTTAGGAGAACAATGAAAGGCAATTATTAATGTGCAAAAATGAAAAGTGCAAATAGTAAAATTTAAATCTATTCTATCTCTGTATATATTTACAAACTAAAAAAGATACCAACTACTTTGAAAGAAAATCTATCTCTAAACTGTCTTCTAAGCTTGCTTAATTTTACCTAAAAATTAAATGATTGAATCAGAGATTATATCGGACCTTTGCTGTAAGCATTTGTTTTATTTTAGTTTTTCCAAGAAAAAATTCGTCATATAAAAAATTGTTTATATCATGTGCAATTGGATGAGTGACTCCTCCAGCCAAGTGCACAATTTCATTAAGCTGCTAATGACCAGGTGTTTCAACAACAGATGATTGTTGGGCTTACCTTTAGAAATGACATCAAACTCATTTCACCATATGGAGGCTAGACAGAAATACACCAATGCAATTTGTTTAACAAAATTTTTGTTATGTTTGTATGATTTTCATAGTAAAATTTAAGAAATAATGTTTCATTACATCCTAATGTTTCTTGAAAAACAAATTGATAAATAAAATGATTGATTTCATTGATAATGTAATAGTGAAGTATTAATGATTTTAGTAAGTGCATTTTATCAGGAAGTCAGTTAATACATGGAAACATGTAAAATTAGTAAAGGGCTACTACATGTAACTTCACAAATATTTTTAGTAAACTGGGAGGAATTCGGCTAATTGCTTAAAAATATCTTGTCAGAATTCTTACAAAGTAATAGCGAATACCTTATCTTTTCTTAACAACTGACAAAACATTTAAATACATAGTCAAAACAAATTACATCATTTACGACAATAAGAATACTTTTCATATGACCTAAATGTCTAAGGGATGGGCACAACATCAAATATTTTACCTGTGTCTGAGGTCTAGAATTTTTTGTACAGGCTACCTGTTAAATATCACCCCATTTAAATAAAAAAAAACTCTACATAACAATAACATATTTAAAACATGAACAAAAAAATGTGTGTTTTGCAAGTGAAATGAAATCAAAATGTAAAAAAAAAATCGTAAATCAACTTAAAATCTTTCTATGAAGATCTAACTGTCAACTAAAGAAATATCATTGTAATATTTGCCACAAAAACATGCAAAGGTTTAAATAGATTTTTGCTTTAATATGCATAAATAAATCAAACTGATAAAGCATTCAGATGTTTCTTGAAGTTCTTTTATTTGAACTCAAAGTATAGAAAATAATTTTTCAATTTCTAAATTCAAAGTTTTTTTATCAATCTAAGATTACCAAGTTTACATTTTTTTTCTATTATATTGCCTCAAGCACATTTTCTTCACTTATCATTTTTAATACCTCATAATTGTGACAAAATTACCAAAGAAGAAAGACCTTTAATACAGATTCTAGTACTCACTTTTTTCATTTGTAAAACCTATACACAAGTCAATTCTATTACAGAAATGTTGTAAAATAAATATCCCTAAGTCTTTTTCATTTAGTATTTATAGGGATAAAAATCTGTTCTTAAAACTAAAATACAACACATAATATTTTCATACACTTCACAATGAATTTCTCTAGCCAGGCTTTATTTAACAAAAGTTGATTGCATCTGTTAACTATGTAGCTGATTAATATGTTTTACAAGCCATCCAACAAATTGGCTATAAGTAATAAAATTTCTCTGGCTTATAAATCTACCAAGTGTGAAGATAAACAACATGGTTTATAAACCTACTGAAGGTAGAGATAAAGGTCATGACCAAGAGTAGGGGTAAAGGTCATGACTTATAAACCTACCAAGAGTAGTAAACCTATCAATGGTAGAGGTTAAGGTCATGACTAAGTATCCTCCAAAGGTTAGAGGTAAAGGTCATGACTTATAAACTTACCAAGGGTGGAGGTAAAGGTCTTGAATCTGTCTTCATTACTCCCATAGTTCCTGGTGTACAATGGAGGAGACGATACACATGTTCCACTATGCCCAGACCTCTGACTAGGTTATCACGTTGTAACAAACCACTGATTCTCTCCAGTTCTTCTTCCTCTAAGATGTCCATTGGTTTACTGGTATCCAATGGCTCATCATTAAATCGTCGGTCAGACTCACTACCTATGGTCTATAATAACAATCAAATTATTACCTTTTGTACAGTTTAACATCATAATTTGTTGGTGGAAACAACCTCATCTTTTCAAAAAGTAATTTTTATTGTGGTTATTCTTAAAAATATCAGTCATATCTTAAAAATATCAGTCATATCTTGTGTTTTTTATGATGTTGTTATTCAAATTTCTTCCATTAGATATTCTTTTTTTCTTCATATAAATAAAGATATGATAACAACCTAAATCTTTCTCCTGTCAACTTCATGTGTTACTAATATGTATATAGTATATAAAAAACTTTCGGTTTAAACATATAAAAATTTGTAAGGGTTCTGCGGCACCCACTGTCTCACCTACTTTTGCTGTTGTCTATGTTTTCAGTGTGATAGGGGAGGTACATAATAGATTTATTTTACAAAAATGGGGAAAAAATTATTAAAAATCCAATTTCAATTTTCCAAGTTCGTATTTGAGCTCAAAATGCTACTTAAACATGAGAAACATGACAATAGATAGCCTCAGGTTGAGGGAACATGCATCCATTTCGAAATAAGTATCATAAAGTTGACCTCTAAAAGTATGGAGAGCCATTAGAGCCAAATAACGGTGGTCTGGGTTATCCCGTCATATGACGGGCTCAGCATGGTAAGGGTTAATAAACAACAAAAATTAAAATCAACTTGAAAGTGTTTTTGAGCAAATCCGTATATCTGGAGGCCTTGATAACCCATTCCGACCTAAAATGAGACGAAAAAACATACAAATTGAGGCTAAAACTGGAAAAAAATCGATTTCTACCACCAATGGCCTTAACACTTACCATGCTGAATTGTTTTCAGAAAAAGTCTAATTTTCGTTTATTTGCAAAAATATGCAAATTATATGCAAATGAGCTTTACCCTGCTGCTGAAGCATATTGATTTCTTTAAATCTAAGGTAGGGGATCACGGGGCGGGGTGGTTGGGGTGAGGAGGTGGGTGTGGGTGGGCGTTAATTTGCCCCAAAGTTGGTCATCAGGTGCAAAAAGCGTCATTTTTGACGATTTTTCGTCCTATTACTTGACCCCAAAGACCGAGGGATGCTGATATAGGTATCCATCTGTAGTCTGCATGTACAGTGGACCCCAGTAAACACATTAACCCCAACAGTTCTTAGGTTGGAGTGAAACTGATCTGGGAACACCAGTCTAAAGAAGGTCATTTGGACAAAAAATACGGAATTTCACGATTTCTTCCGATTTTGGACTTCAACTGGACCTGAAACCGGAAGTAGTCGTTTCCTCTGCGTATTTCAAAAATAATTATGATCAGTAGATATATGTCTGCGGGTTTACACTATTTTTGAAAGTTTTAGGCCTCTGAACTTCCTGTGTAAGACACAGAAGGGAAGCCCACCCCTCCAGAAAAACCAGTTTTATCCAATTTCAATTTTCCAAGTTCGTATTTGAGCTCAAAATGCTACTTAAACATGAGAAACATGACAATAGATAGCCTCAGGTTGAGGGAACATGCATCCATTTCGAAATAAGTATCATAAAGTTGACCTCTAAAAGTATGGAGAGCCATTAGAGCCAAATAACGGTGGTCTGGGTCAACCCGTCATATGACGGGCTCAGCATGGTAAGGGTTAAGAAAGTTATTAAAATTTTTAAAACTTTAACCACAGAGTGAATGTAATGTTAACTGGCAGAAAAACTAAGTCCATTTTTAAGTAAAATACAGATAAACAGGATTTTTTTTTTACAAAATTTACTTCTGGATACTATCTTATGATCATAAACAACTTCTGTCCAAGTTTGGTGGAAATCCAGGATAGTTTTAAGAAAGTTATTAAAATTTTAAAAACTTTAACCACAGAGTGAATGTAATGTTAACTGGCAGAAAAACTAAGTCCATTTATAAGTAAAATACGGAAAAACAGGATTTTCTTTTTTACAAAGTTTACTTCTGGATACTATCTTATGATCATAAACAAGCTTCTGTCCAAGTTTGGTTCCAGGATAGTTTAAGAAAGTTATTAAAATTTCAAAAACTTTAATATTTGTGGTAGCCGCCAACCACGACGCCCACGGAATGTAGGAACGCTATGTCTCGCTTTTGCAACAAAAGTTGCAGGCTCGACAAAAATGTTATTGTTTCTTTTTTTGTATAAATCAGGTTCTGATCTAATAATACCTCAGAACAACTATTCCTGGAACCTGAGAGTCTCCGAGAGGGCATGGTGGTTCGCTTTAGTGACCTTCGTCTCCTACTGTTTGGACTTTCTGGTCTAATGGATGACTGACTTTTCTTTCCCTTCAACATAGATTCCAATTTTTCTTTTTTTCTGGCGATTTCATCTCGCTGTTGCCTGTAATTAATATCATACATATTCTTTACAAGTCTGTATAGGACGAAAGCTATATCAAACAAATTACCAGACACATACATCAGTGTTTTTCTCTCTGTGATCCTTTTTATGGTCTTGTTCATCTAAAAAGTTTTGCATCTATCTAGGCTGGAATTTAGACACATAGATAAAAAAAAAACATAACATATCATCAAATTATACTAGTAATTTTATATCTTGGTTCTTTAAATTTCAGTCATATTCAGCCTTTAATTCCTTGATGATTATTTTATAATCAAGAGTGCAAACACTGAAATGTCTGTCCTGCATTACTGATTCTGACTAAATTTTATGTTGAAAGTCTTTAATACAGGTACAACAGAAAACTGAAAATGAACTCTGATTTATGAAATAAGGTGAAGGTCAGTTAACCCTGTCAGTCAGACATGTAATAGGTGACCTACTGCTTAAAGTATTTGATAAATTCACTAAAACTGAACATGAATATGAGGTCAAGGTCAGATGATCCGTCAGACCAACATAAACACATAAGATTCATTACATATACCAAATATAGTTGACCTATTGCTTGAAGTATCTGAGAAAAGAACTTGATCACTTAAACTGATTTTAACCAATCAACCTTGAGGTCAGGGTCAAAAGAATTCTATAAGTCAGACATGTACATCTAACAATCATTTTAAACTTAAAATTGATCACTGATTCATCAAGTAAGGTCAAGGTCAGGTGAAACCTACCCAACTGACATTTAGATCTTGAAATGATTTCTGATGCACGAGTCCTCTTAGGATGGATAATATTTTGTTTAACTGCTTACTTTAAAATTATAAATATCAAAAATTCCAAATGTAAAGGTCCATTTCAATTTGCCTAAACATTGGAACATGTGACTTTTATTTGAATGTAATTACAAATAGATACCTGGCCATTTCACTCCTGGCTTTGAAAGCTGCAGTTTCTTGGAACAAAGTGCCACTACTATGGAAGAATTTCTCGTATTTCTCTGATCCTGAATTTGGAAATATCCTTCTGAAGTTTCCCATATGATTGTTCTCATATCTCTCTAAATACTCTTGGTATTGTGTCTGGGCCATTTCTAATTCTTCTCTGTAAAATCAAGCAGAAATTAGTAAGTAAAATACAACCTTATCAATGTAGACAATTTCTGTTATTTCATCGATTATAATATTTCCCTTCTTTTAATCATTCTGAACAGCTCTACAAAAGATTTAGTTTCATAGCCTTGTGATGTGGAAAAATATCAGTTACCAATGATGCTGCAGTACTTAATTATGAAAACAGTTTAATTATAAAATCGAACTTTTAATCAAAGTTCCTTGCATACTTACTTAGATTCCTTCTTTGTCCCTCTTCCCATTAATCTGTCTTTAATTCTCTTTTTCTCCTCTTCTATGCATTTTCTTCTATCACAAGCACCAAAATTGACTAAATTTAAAGAGTCCATGACTAAAGCACCTTTAATTTCTCTATCCAGTTCTGAATCTGTATTAAAACTGGGAGAGTGATTGACCTGCAATGCAGAAATCATTATTTGTTATCATATCATAATATAGGTTTAATTCACAAACAAAAATATTGAAATCTTCTTTCTAAATGATTTATACTAAAAATATACATAATTTGGGCCGTGCCAGAAATAGTTGAATGGGATTGAGGAAGAAGGGTGGTTAAAAGGCAATAAACTTTGATAGGTAGAGGTTGATTATGAACATTTTATTTTGTTTGTAAACATCTTCATTGTGTCCACGTCACAGGTGGGGATTGCCTATGACATGTTGAACATAACCACAGCAGTGATTGGAAACAAGGGGGGATACATTCCAAGTCTCTTAAATTCAAACTAAAGTACAAATCATACGAAGAACAAAAATTGTGCAAATCATTTCTTGTTCATCTACAAATTTTCATACACTATGCATTATCACTGTCTTTTTCCTAAATTATTCTCTTTCTACTTTTCCCATCCTCTAGCTGCACAACTCCAACTTATGATGAAGGACAACGTCATATTGTTGTGCTACATTTTTTCCCCCATCCCTCCTTTTTTTCTCCCCCCCCTCCCCCACCCATACTTTCACACGTCACAACCCAATTTTTTTCAAAAACTTAATATATGATATGCAAACTTAGTAATCCAATAATTTTCTGAGTATTTAAATCTAAAGCAATATACTTTTATATTATATACCTCTAAGACTTGGGGTCTAAGCTTCCTGTCCAGCAGTATGTCAAATCCTAAGATTTCAAAACATGCGCTGCCTTTGACATGATTAGGAAAGCATGTGCGGTAGTTGTGTTTGAGTATAGAATGAGCAGAAATTAATGTTTTTATCACAACATCGTCTATTTCTGTCCACATCTTATCAATGTCATAGCCTTTGTCCTTCAAAAATCTATTTATTGTACTAATTCTCCTGAAATGAATATAAGTAAGACATTTTAATCTTATAATATGATAAAAATCAATTTAAAGTTGTTTCATAACATTAATTCATAAAATGTTTAAAACTTCATATATGTACAGAAATAGGACATAGCGGTGTTCATATTGTCAAGCTCCATCCAATCTCAGAAATCTTAAAAGGATTTAACAAAGCAAAATGTATCAAACTTTTTCAGATTCATTGACAATATGATATGTGGTGATCTATTTTGATGTTTTCTCTGTTAAACTGTTGACTATATTTCTAGACTTGTTGCGATTTAGAGTTTGTGTTTAAGTAAATGCTCTAGTCAATTGTTGAAGGTCATATGATAGGATCTTGATATTAATTTTGTTTATCTTGTGTTTTTGGGTGTTTGCATCATTGACTTTTACCACATATCTCTTTTTATTCATACTAATCTTAAAAATTGGTCCATACATGTGAAACTAATACTTATATCCTATAATAATCTAAATGACACACTAACCTTTTACTTCCAGCCTCATCATCCCTCACAAAGTCCTCACTATGTTTATTTATGGCATAATTTGTTAAATGCATGAAAACATTATCCTGAAAGAAAAAAGTAACGTGAATAACAAATCACTAGTTGACAAACAAAATTTATATGTGAAGAATCAAACAATGCAGTCAATAGCACCTGATAACATCCTAAGTTTTATGGGTGTTCTTATTGCCCATGGTTCATAACTCAACAAGTTGTTTTGAAAATATGTGAGAATGTCTCTAAGAGTAATTGCCTACTGGTCTTGTCTTTCTGGGATTGTCTCTGTTGTGCAGTAAACAGATGTATTTTCAACATTTTAGTTTTTCCTTGTGACATAGTTGCTTCAATACACCTGTAGTTTTAATGGTTTCATAGAGGATGTTTAATGAATTCCCCATAAAGATCAATTTACTGTTATTTGAGAAATTATAGAGATGGTTATATTATTGCGAAAAATAGCAATGGGATAGGTTTCACAAAAATAAAAACATGCAACAATTTCTGAATTTACTCTACCCACTACAGGGATAAACATGTAAATTTGTTATTATCATCACTTCAAAATGTTTAAGGACATTGTTGTGACTGTGACTTTGTCTACATGTCCGTAATTACGCAGTACAGTGTTGACGTTGTTTTCCCTTATTTTGACGTTGTATGATAGTGACGTGAGAGGGGAGAGGGTTGTTGACGAATGAACAAGATAGCTAAAATAGTTTGAACTGTCGGAGTGTATGCCGTGTGTTTTGTATTTTATGTAACGTCTGTATAATACATGCAGTGTGAATAAATCGTGACTGTTATTTTCTACAAAGATGGTGTTTAGTTATAAATTATGAACGCTCGGAATTCTACGTTTACAACATTGGTGGCAGCGAAAAGAAACGGATCTACGCAGACAGATGATTTATTTCTTTATACAGACGGGATGCTTTTAAAGAGGGGAGGAAATATGAATTTTAACACTGAAGGTACCGTAAACAAATTTTTAGACCGTACGATTTTGACCAAATGTATACTGTACGACAGAAGGACGATACGGCACTGGAATACTTTACAGTTATGGAAATTAAAATTCACCATTTTAAAAGTGATATTGGAATTGTAACAGATTCGACCATAGAATGTTCAGAGAAGTATCTAGTCGGCAAAAGTGGACGGAAATGGATCAAACATTTTTGTTCGGTGTTAGCATCAAGGATAAAGTAATAATCTAAGGTGCAAATTGGAAAGAAAGCAAAATTGTCTCGTTCAAGTATAATTATTTGTTGTTTTATGTGTCTATAAATTATATTTGTCAGCATTTCATTTTAATATTTAATAACCATGAGCCTGTGTGACTTACCAGAGTTTGACGGTACTGAACTTTTTGAAGGTTTCTGGATGAAATTTTCTATTTTAGCTGATAGTTTTAATTGGTCACCTAGTGATATGGCTTTCTATTTGGTTACTTCACTGAGAGGTAAAGCATTAGAATATGTATCGTATTTACCACGTGGAGATCTTTATAATGGATCTGTTTTGTATTCTGCATTGAAATGTAGATTTGGTGATATTGAGACGGCTCAGATTCGTAGAATGAAATTGAGAAATATAACTATGTTTGAACGTGAAAGTGTTCAAGAGTACGTATGTAGAATTGAGATAAATGTTCGAAAATCGTTCCCTGGTGTGAACGATGATTTATTAGTGAAGCTGATTACTGAGTATGCTATGTATGGATACCCTGATGGTGATATTGGATATAGAGTTCTGACTAAAGAACCGTCAACAGTCAGTGAACTTATCAAAGAAATATTGTGGCAGGAACATTGCAGACAAAATTTAAAGTTAGTAGTAAAATCGCGTTGCACCGGCGACAGTGACTTTGAGAAACATTCTGAAATAGGCACTACGCGTAATATTAATTTCACAGAGTATGATATTATGACGAAGAAAGTTTCCACAATTACTGACTTTGATATAAATGACAATAGTTTATATAACCAGAAATTGGAAGAAGACAGATGCACTGTTGGTAAATTAAATGTACGAAATAATTCTGTGTATCCGAGTGAACAGTCTGTTTATTGCATTGTTGAGTCATATGAATTGAAATATGAAGACATTTGTGACGTTTTTGAGGCAACTGAAGTTGCAGTTGCAAAAGTTTCGGACGAAGAGATAGCTACCTTGGAATTTCCGTGCGTTGAACAGCAGGCAGTGATTACTGGTGGAACAGACGTTGTTAGCGTTAGAAAGTTTGAATTGAAATGTCAGGTACTTAGTGACATTGTTGAAGCAACTGAAGTAGAAGTTGCACAAGTTTTGGAGCTAGAGAAAACTAATTTGGAACGTCCGAACGTTGAACAGCAGACAGTAATCACTGGTGCAGTAGAGGCAGTTAACGTCCGAAAATGGTAACCCTTTGAACAAAGTGACATTCTGTTTGATACGTCTAACAGTATTGATGCGATCAAAAATAAAGTACCTAGAGTTTCAACATATACTGGATTATCGACACCAGTATATAGAAAGGACTTTCCATGTAAAGAACGTGTATGTAAAAATGAGATCACCCAATTCAGAGATAGCAACGTCTATGAAAACAGTTATAAACATGATGTATGCTCCAGTGGATCGTCTATGTTACCTGAGATGAACTGGAAAACACGAAAACGCAATTTGTCTTGATTTATCTTTTATTTCGAGGACGAAATATTCTTGAAAAGAGGGAGTAGTGTTGTGACTGTGACTTTGTCTACATGTCCGTAATTACGCAGTACAGTGTTGACGTTGTTTTCCCGTATTTTGACGTTGTATGATAGTGACGTGAGAGGGGAGAGGGTTGTTGACGAATGAACAAGATAGCTAAAATAGTTTGAACTGTCGGAGTGTATGCCGTGTGTTTTGTATTTTATGTAACGTCTGTATAATACATGCAGTGTGAATAAATCGTGACTGTTATTTTCTACAAAGATGGTGTTTAGTTATAAATTATGAACGCTCGGAATTCTACGTTTACAACAGACATGAATCACTATTATCATCAGTCCAAACATTAACACAGACAAGGGGTTTGTACATATTTTTTTTTTTCAAAATAAGTTTTTGCCATAGTGGCCATCCTGATTTACCAAGTTAAATATTTTGTTTAGTTTTTCAAGTGTACCTGATATATCTTTTCTATAAAAAGGGTATTCATAATGTTTATAGCTGAAAAGTATCTGAAAGTATTCCGGGACAATGTCAGTTTAAGGTACATTCATGGTATTATTTCGCAGTGAAATTAATTAAAACTAGACATCATTGAGATGGGAGCCATCTCTGTGGGCCCCGCTGTAAATAACATGTAGAGCGGATACAATTTGTTAGGGACAGACAGACGGACAGACAGACAGATGGACGAACCTTTGACCTAGGAAGTTGTACATACATTATGACGCACCCTGTAGTGTTGGTTAATATACATGTCAAGTATAAACTTTGAAATCATAACGGTTCTAAAGATATAGAGCAGACATGATCTGTACCAGAGGACATGGGGTTGTCAACTGAAACCAAAGTTTTTTAACTTGACCTTTGACCTAGGAAGATGTACAAACATTACGACACACCCTCTGGTGTTGGTTAATATACATGTCAAGTATAAAGTATGAAATTATAACGTTTCTCTAGATATAGAGCGGGCACAATTTGTTATGGACGGACAGACAGACAGACTGATCACTATAGGGCGTCCCGCCTAGTGGCGGGGCCCTAATAAAATCATAAAAAATATTTATCAGATTTGTTAGCAAATTTTAGAACATGCATTACCCAAAGCAATTTTTGTGATCTAATAGATGAACACAAAATACATACCTATGTGAATATCCCTTTAGGTGATGGTTATACTTAACTTCAGTTCAAATTTGTGAAATTTTGCCATTTTATTGAACTTACTGTAATTTTGTGGCTGATTGACACATGAAAAGTAAATATTTAAAACCAAAAATGCAATGTTTGATCAAAGAACATTGATTCAATATATAAACTGGAAATTGTACCTTTTTCTTTTAGGAAATGCTCCCTTATTACTGCCTCATTTCACAAGACTAGGATTGTCAGTTTTCCTACCTAAGGTCGTGGTTCTCTCCGGGCACTCCGGCTTCCACCACCAATAAAAACTGACAGCCACAAACCGCACAATAGTGTTGAAAGTGGTGTTAAACACCAATCAATAAATCAATCAATATTTTATCACCTATTTTTGGTGGGGTTCATGTTGCTCAGACTGTTAGTGTTTTGTAGACTATTGTTTTCTTCTCTTTTTAATATTTGTATTCATGACTAGTTTTATTACATATATTGATTCATGTATGTCTTCTAAATAAAGATTTATTTTATTTAGTGGACATGGAAAGTTGATCACCATACTTACTATATTATTATGACTTGGTTCTACATATTTGTTTGTAGCAAATCTAGCTAAACCATCGTTAAACAGAAAAATTCTAAATGGATCACATGAGGTCACTAGCACATACAGTCTGAAGTCAAACTTGAAATTGTCAATCAGAAATGGCTGCAAAAAAAAAATGTGATTTACTACATAAAAAAATAAAGATATGTAACATCATAATTCTCATCACTACAAATTAAAGTACAAAAACCCTGAATACAAATCTTTTATTCTTTGAAGACAAATTTCTGTTTCTCTACATATGTAAAAGTTAAAATTAGCACCATACAAATAATCAAGCAGTTAAATATACAAAGACATACATAATATAAATGAATATGATATAAAAATTTAATAACCACAATATAAACAATAATCGCTGAGGCAGCATTAAAGTATTATCAAACAATCAAACATGTAAACTTTTAATATATGTTGTATTTCCAAATGAATAGGGAATATGAAAATTTGATTCTTTTTATTAAACTATTTCTAAAAAAATTGATGTGATATCGATCAGCTTTAATCAACAAATGTTTTGTTTTAATTAATTCGTTTGGATTTAAACTTTATAGAAAGAACCACAATGTGTCTGAATGTATTCATATCTTATTCCTAGGACTCTGTATTTCTTTGAGATACATTACTAACCTTTGATATACTAACCTTTGGCATATACTGTTGACAAATCATGTCTATTCCTTTGATATACTAACCTTTGGCATATACTGTTGACAAATCATGTCTATGCCTTTGATATACTAACCTTTGGCATATACTGTTGACAAATCATGTCTATTCCTTTGATATACTAACCTTTGGCATATACTGTTGACAAATCATGCCTATTCCTTTGATATACTAACCTTTGGCATGTACTGTTGACAAATCATGTCTATTCCTTTGATATACTAACCTTTGGCATGTACTGTTGACAAATCATGTCTATTCCTTTGATATACTAACCTTTGGCATGTACTGTTGACAAATCATGTGCTCATGTGGTTTGATTTCTTTAGGATTTTTTGTCACCCAGATTCCTTTCCCTTGACAGCCAGTCTCAGGTTTCAGTATATATGTCTTATTTTTCTTCTGTCTTGTGTAAGCTTGGAAATCTCCATAGCTGTTGAAATAGGTAAAATTTATTTCAAATCAGTCCATATAAACAAATGCAATTCTAATTATTAAAACATTTTAATTCTATGAAAATCAAAATGAATGGAAAAAGATTAAAATTAAATTTTCATTTGTTTTATTACTTCAACTGTTTATTGCAGTAAAGGAAGTGCTGGATAGTTCAAATAAAATTGTATACTTTCTGTAGTCTGAATAAACAAGAGTGCACACGCTGAAATGTCTCGCCTTCTTTACTTATCATTGATATTATGTTGATAGTCCTAAATATAAAGCTTTATTACAACTGTCACATAAACTTAACATTAACCAAGTAAACTAAACATTGACCAATGAACCATGAAAATGAGGTCAAGGTCAGATGAACCATGCTAGGCAGGCATGTACAGCTAACAATTCTTCCATACAACAAATATAGTTGACCTATTGCTTATAGTTTAAGAAAAACAGACCAAAACACAAAAACTTAACACTGAGCAATGAACCTTGAAAATGAGGTCAAGGTCAAATAAAACCTGCGTGACTGCCAAATAGATCATAAAATATTTCCATACACCAAATATAGCTGAACTATTGCATATAGTATTAGAAAAAAAGACCAAAACTCAAAAAACTTAACTTTGACCACTGAACCATGAAAATGAGGTCAAGGTCAGTTGACACCTGCCCGCTAGACATGTACACCTTACAACCATTCCATACACCAAATATAGTAGACCTATGGCATACAGTATAAGAAAAACAGACCAAAACACAAAAACTTAACTATAACCACTGAACCATGAAAATGAGGTCGAGGTCAGATGACACCTGCCAGTTGGACATGTACACCTTACAGTCCTTCCATACACCGAATATACTAGACCTATTGCTTATAGTATCTGAGATATGGACTTGACCACCAAAACTTAACCTTGTTCACTGATCCATGAAATGAGGTCGAGGTCAAGTGAAAACTGTCTGACGGGCATGAGGACCTTGCAAGGTACACACATACCAAATATAGTTATCCTATTACTTATAATGAGAGAGAATCTAACATTTCAAAAAATCTTAACTTTTTTTTCAAGTAGTCACTGAACCTTGAAAATGAGGTCAAGGACATTGGACATGTGACTGGCGGAAACTTCGTAACATGAGGCATCCATATACAAAGTATGAAGCATCCAGACCTTCCACCTTCTAAAATATAAAGCTTTTAAGAAGTTAGCTAACGCCGCCGCCGCCGTAGCCGCCGGATCACTATCCCTATGTCGAGCTTTCTGCGACAAAAGTCGCAGGCTCGACAAAAATGTTTTCTAAATTATGTTTTCTCATCATTACTATCATTTTTTAATATACTTTTTCACCGACATTTTATTTATCTCCCTTTGGTCAAAGGACAATATGACAGTTACAAATTGTGTTCACCCTTTTAGAACACATGTTACTCTCAGTTTTTCTAATAGTTTCATCAGGTTGACACCTAATCCTCATCAGTACCACAATTTCTTATAAGTTAACCATCTGAAATTCTATCAAAAGTTAGTCAACCTGAACCAGGACCTGTAAGTCACCATTAAACATGCATGAAAATCAGTAAATTAAAAACAAGTACAATTCAAATAACAGTTTCTTAGTCTAAAAGCTGCTAAAATAGAATAAAAACAAAATAAGAAGTTTGATGAAAGCTATGGCATTACTTACTCTGCAGGTAAGCACCAAGTTTTAGGGAATATGTTATATTCTTTTGGGTACATCTTGAGCATTCTGTTTAAGTTTCTGGCTAACATGTCTTTCCTGCATATCTCACTCATTCCAGGAAAATGATTTATTTTCTGAAAAATAATAAGAAAAGTTAATGCAAGTCTTAATTCTTCCACTAAACATTTTCTATAAAACAGGCAGAAATATATTTCATCTTTCTCAAATCAAGAACAAAGGTATAAAATTTCTAAAAATAGGAGGTATGGTTAGAGATGTTTTTGTTTAGTTCACCGAAAGCTGCAAAATAACTAAGTGAGAAAGAATGAATGCCAAACTAGGTTCTTCAATAAAACATTGATATTGAGTCTAATGTCCAACCCAAATGGAAAGACAGATAACTCAATAAAATGGTGAATTTGCCAAATATTGTGACCATTTGACTCAAAGATGCTAAAGAATAATATAAAACCTTTTGTCAATTTTTTTTTAGTGCAGATAGATTTTTCATACTGTTTATTTTCATACAAGTTTTGTAAGTTAACATGCTTTCTTCTGATGAAAAGCAATAATATTGTTCATTTTTTTTCAGTATCTATGACAATTCCAATATGAACTAGTAGGACAATACAAATTATCTAATATTGACCATTTCACAGGATTGCTTGCCAGATAAATAATTAATGATTTGATTTTTTATTTTTTGGTGTTTTAACGCCACTTTTAAGCAACGCTTTTGGGCTATTTCGTGGCGGCCAGTTTTTATTGGTGGAGGAAGCGGGAGTGCATGGAGAAAACCACCGACCTTCGATAGGAAAACTGACAATCCTAGTCAATTAATATCGGGGTCGAGTGCACCTGCACGAGCGGGGTTCGAACTCACAACCTCAGTGTTGACTGGCTAGTGATTACAGTAGTAACTACTTAGACCACTCGGCCACTGAGGCCCCGCAAAATAATTAATGAAGAGGTACATTATTGAACAGAATGTTATACACTTTGATCCATCTAATACTGAAGGAGTCATAAAAATCATATAGGGTTGTAAAAGCGTTGATCATGTGCACATTTGCGGAACAAAATGCTCTTTTACACCCCAATAAAATTATAAAAAGAAGCATTCCATTCTTAATTGAATTTCCTTATTTGAACTTTGTAACAATTTAAAGACATATAGATTTAGGTGACATGCTTTCTCTGCTATTTACCTGTTAAATGTAGCAATGATTAAAGGGAGTCATGATTAAAACCTAACCTTACTTAGGATTAACTATTATATCTGATAAATATATAATTAATCGGTTAACATTAAATTTATCCATTAAAGTGATTCAATAACAATTTAAATTATTCTAATTGACCAATTCAGCCAGCCCTGAAGCAGAATAACACTATTATATAGGCAATTAACAATTCCTTACCCAATATAATGCATAAGCTGTAATGTTTAAGTCAAAATAAATTTGTTTGAAATTTAATATAAATATTGAAGGAAGCAAGATTATATTTTAAAGCCATATTCAAAATTGCAACATTATAAAATATTTGAAGAGCATTACAAAACTTGAAAATGATCTGCTATTAGGAAGGCACTCTATAAAAGTTCTTTTGCCGCGATATAGCCTTTTTGTGCTGATGCGGGGAGTTTTAGTTTTATGTAAAGTAAATGTCCTACGATTCTGTTTTATTTGTATGAAAGTTTGGTCTGTGACAAGAGTGGCTACCCATCTCATTCATACATATTTTTCACTAGAATATTACCTGATATTTTTTCATCTCCATAACTCTTTCCAGGGCCACAGAATAATCAGTCCAGTATAATGTCCATTCGTCATCATCAGATACTTCCTTGAATCCAAACCGCTTGGAGTTCTTTCGTACTGTAAACATAGACAAACATGGTGATCAACAAAAAATAAGACCAATGATAACAAGTCTTGTTTTCTTAATTTTGGTCAACCTATGTGCCACTCTTGTCCACTGTTGTTTCTATGGGTTTGTTTTGTCTATTCACAACTCAATTTATTAAGATCTTTGGTTGTATTTGTTAAATACTTCCTCATATTAGGTAGACTGAGAGTGATTTAGAGCTTCCCATACGGTTTGGACACTTGTCCAGCAGTTCAGACTATATAGTGACCTCTTAATGGTTTACTTTTACAAATTGTGACTTGGATGGAGAGTTGTCTCATTGGCACTCATACCACATCTTCTTATATCTATCTTAGATTTTTCCTGAACTTATGTATTTGGGTTGCAGTCTCATGAATATTATTTCCAATATGTATTTTCATTCATATCTGTTGTATCATGTAAAAAACTTTGCACTTGTACAATAAAATGCTCCGCTGGGCGCAGCTTGATACGACCGCAGAGGTCGAACCCCGAACAGTTGGGGCAAGTATGGACACAACATTCAAGCTTGATACAGCACTGAATTTGGATTGTGATTAAATATTTGACACAGCATAGGTTTCTGACACAGAATGAATGTGGTCTAAGAACTTAAATTTTTTTAATTTACCCATTCAAACCATATCATTATTATTTGCTTTTATATATAAATCAGAAATAAACAATTTAAAATGGAAAATTTTAAAGAAAAAAAAAGGAAAAAAAAGCCCTCCCCCAAATTTTTTGAACCCCCTTATGATTCATCACCCCCAAACTCAATCCCAGCCTTCCCTTTGTGGTATGGTACCTTGCAGTACAATTTCAGAGAGATCCATACACTTGAACACAAGTTATTGTCTGGAAACTAGAAAAATGCTTGTTTTTAGGCCCCTTTTTGGCCCCTAATTCCTAAAATTTTGAGGCAATTACCCCCAAAATCAATCACAGCCTTCCCTTTGTGGTATGGTACCTTGCAGTACAATTTCAGAGAGATCCATACACTTGAACACAAGTCATTGTGTGGAAACTAGAAAAATGTTTATTTTTGGCCCCTTTTTGGCGCTTTATTCCTTAACATTTTGGGCAATTACCCCCAAAATCAATTCCAGCTTTCCCTTTGTGATATGGAACCTTGTAGTACAATTTCAGAAAGATCCATACACTTACACACAAGTTATTATCATGAAACTAGAAAAATGCTTGTTTTTTGCCCCTTTTTTAGCCCCTAATTCCTAAAATTTTGAGGCAATTACCACCAAAATCAAGCCCAGCATTCCCTTTGTGATATGGAACCTTGTGGTTCAATGTCAGAGAGATCCATACACTAACACACAAGTTATGTCTGGAAGTTACAAAAATGCTTATTTTTGGCCCCTAATTCCTTAACTGTTGGTACCATAACCCCCAAAATCAATCCCCACCTTCCTTTTGTGGTATTGAACCTTATGGTATAATTTCATAGAGATCCATTCACTTAAACTAAAGTTACAGTGCGAAAACCAATGTGTCTTCGGACGACGACGACGCCAACGTCATACCAATATACGACCGCACAATTTTTTGCGGTCGTATAAAAAGGGCTTAGTAAAAGATATTGTCAGTAAGTTGACTACTGAAAACTGAAAATTGAACAATTATTATCTCTGCTTCTATGATTTAAATTCTGACAAGAAGTAACAATCTAATTAATCATAAAAACCTGTTTTAGTTAAAGTCTGACGATGGGTATATTATATTTTATTATTTCACCTGATCTTGTATTCTAAACCCCAAATTTAAGGATAGGCTTGGTCTAAATAATGATGTCAAAAAAGAAAATTTTGATATTTCAGGCAAAATTATGCACAATTTGTAAATTTTATATAAAATTTTTAATCATTTTTCCATATGTATATAATATAATTCCATGTACATCTTTAATAACTGACATTTTCAATTTTCACAATTCCCAAAGTTTTATCTTTCAAAAATCTTTGACATCATTGTAAGTTGACAATTTTGTTCACAATTTGGCAAAATGTTAACGTACTTACCGACATCATACTTGCAATTTGTGAGACAAATATAGTAGATTCTGAAATAAAACAAGATATATTACTTTAGTAACGTAAATAGGCTAATAAAAAATGTGGTGGCTTTGTTAGGATGTATCGATAATTGGAAAGAGTTATACAACCTGCAAATATCAGTCAAGGTAAGCTCCTTTGATTAACCCTTTCATCCCCGATAATGCCTTAAGGCATTGCCAGCCCATACCCACTTTGCCTCAAGGCATCGCTTCCCTTTTTGGTATTTTTAAAATGACTTTCGCAACGAAATGACAGGGCGTATAAACGAGAAAATTTAACCAGTCATGGGGCGTATTATGAAATTTGTTTCTATGATTTGTTTTGTTTTAAAAAAGGAAAAAACAGTTGAAACTTTGTTCAAGGTGGGGGAAATTAATGGCTTCCTCTGTTGAGCAAATGGGTTTAACAGCCGTTTATTTCAATGTGTTACTTTACAACAAGGGTTTTCTCCACTAAAAATTACAAATATTTTTTCCATGACCTCATTTGCATATCAATGCGGATATTTGAGGGGCATTTAATGGAATATTATTTCATTGAAAGTTGTTGTTTTCTGATTCGGATGCTCTAACCTTTTCGTTGCTTCATTATTTCTTCAAATTGTGCCTCCAAGCGACCACGGCAAACATTTTATTGTCCAAAAATGGGATTGCATGCATGTGTTTTGGTTTATTTCTATCTAATAAATAAATTGACCTTTAAAGACGGCTTTCAGTTGACTTATAAAAATTGGGATTCCATTTCTTACATCATATCATGTGAGATGTCATGTGCTAAAGGTAGAAGAAATTTGCACGTTTTTGCAGCTATGAACACTAAATATAATTTAAAGACTGAGAGAATTGTTCTCGGTGAATGGGACAAGGTATAGAATGCTTCTAACTGTATTTCTCCAAATAGATAAGACCGCACAAGTCTTTGAACTTGCATTCCCAAGTATGCAGATCACTAGGCCAGTCACAACAAGCTGATCAAAATAAATACACAAGCTAAAAAAATACATATATATATTTAATGTCCAGTCCTGTTACTTGGTTATATTTTGGAATAAAATGGAAAAGTAGTTGAAATTAAATTATAAAGATTGCGGTCATACTGAGACTACTATATATAAGACTACTATAGTAGTCTCAGCCATAGACAAGAATAATATTACAATTTTAATGTAAATGGAAAGTTTGTTTTAAATTTAAAAGTAAGACATAAAAAGGAAATAACTCATTAATATCTAATAAATATATCATAAAGCTTCAGGGAAAGCAATATTTTTTAAAAATTTATTTACCCCAAGAAAAACAATATATCCTAGCAGAGACCTATTATGTCTCTGGCCCTAGCTAATCTTGGCTATAAATCTTTACATTTAAACATTTTAAGAGTAATGTGACTACTATATAATTCTGAACTATAAAGTGACATATAATCATATTATTTGACACTTATAATACTAATTTATATGGTTTGAAAGTGAAAATAAGTTAATTTTTAAGTCTGTTTGTAAGATTATTTTAACAAATGTCCAATTCAGTTCCATGACTTACTCGCCTTATACTAAAAATTATACTCTGTAAATAACATTGCCATCCAACAACAGTCCTGATTAAGGACAGGCACTTTAACATGTAGCAGGGTTAAAATAGTTTTGAGGGTACTCAAGCCTTCCTCCATTTTTCTAATTTCTTTTTTAATTGACTACTGTTTTTACTAGTGATATTGCAAATGACTTATCATAGTAAAAATGCAATTACTGAAAAAACTGTTTAAATATCTATAAAGATCAAATAAGTAAGCTAACAGGAACATAACTTTATAAATCTGTTACATGAAGTAGTAAACTAACTATTAAGCCCCTTTATAATTTTTTACATTGTTACATTACATTGAAATATTTTGTTTAACAGTTAATAATACAAGGCACTTATCACATTTAATAAATACAATATCTAGGTAGCTTTGTGTATTTTCTATTCACCTGTGATAGGTTCTTTTTTAAATTAAATGGATATTGTTATTATATTTGACAAGTTAATAACATTTGATAAAGAACGGTAACATTGTTACACCAAAACAATATACTATTGATCTACTACAATCAAACAGTATTATCAGGTCTGCTATTTAAAGCATCACGGTCAATATCGTGAATTCCTTTTAACTGTAACAATGACGGCAACGATTGGGACATACACTGAAGGATGTAATAGCAATTAACGCTGAGCTTTGATATGTATCATAATAAAGTAAAATAAGAAATTTTAAATAATATTCATAATGAAAAACGCAGCAATGACCTTTCACAAATTAAGACCATATACTTTATCCCCTTTTAAATAGATTAAATAAATGCTTGAAAGCTTTCATTGTAGTTTACCGTTACTAAGTATATTAAACCAATCTATTTGAACATAGGCCATTGAAAAGTCAGTTTAAATCATTTTTTCGTATCTTACTTGTATTCTGTGAATAAATATAAAACAAAATGACCACATTCAGCTCAGATATCATAAGAAAACATAATAATAATTACTGGTTATTCTTTCATTCAACAAAATGTCCTGTTCAAGTTTAGTTCTTTCATGTTTTAGTCTTATGTTATGAAAATTAATTTTGTGGTTAATTATGGTATATTTCTCATTATATGTGGACCAAGAAGATATGAAAATTTAATTACAAAACCATTGAACTTCTGAACGTATGTAAGGAGACTCCTTTGATGTAGCATGCAACAGTGTGCTATGGGCAAATGAGTGCAGATTAAGACTGCCTTCCAAATTTGGTTGTATTTTTTTTCAATGGAATATTGCAACCATTAATATAAATCAACCTTGAGAAATTATTTCTAGCTCACTTATCATGAGACCTCCTAGTTCTCTTCAAGTAATTGTATGTTGATATTAAAATAATCGTTTCAAGTATAAAATGTCTAATGGATATGTTGATCAATGCAAACTAAATTACCATAAATAGATATCAGAATTACAATTTATTGAACAGTATTTATAGTGTCTACTCTCAGAATATGCTTCACAGCATATTATAGTTACCTTTATAGATTTGTGACATGTAAATGGAATGCTCTTATTCAACCTATCTCAATTTCCTTTTTCCCTTTGTGTATCACGTTAATTTCGTCCAAATAGATTTGTATTTTATATTTATTATGAAAGTTAAATAGTCATTTTGAATTTATGTGAATATAATATTTAAAGAATTTATGTCTTTCTAAAAACTGAAACTATCCATATTAACTTTGTACATGTTGAATGTGGCTTTCTTCAAATTTCTTTGATGAAAATTCGAAGAGTTTTAAAGACTTATCTTGTTTTTATTAGTGACCTTAGAAATAACATTAAACATGATGTATTTACAGTCATCCAAAGTACAATTAATAAGTGTGTGCTTGTTGAAAAAGTAAACAAATTTTACCCAACACTCTAAATAATTAGGTATTTAAAAGTTACTCTAGGGTGGCAGGTATAATATTTTAAATTTCTGCTTCTAGCATTCTTTAATACAATATTGTTTACTACGGTTGGGTGGTATTACTTACATCTGTGTTCTGGTATTATTTAGTTAAGGGCTTTTTTGTACAGATTTTTATTATTAATTCATCTATGCAACTTTTTGTTATTCCATTGAACAGAATTATAGGGGAGGGTGGTGAGGGCTTATAAAACTTTAAACCTGTCACATGATTGTCTGCCTGTCACATGATTGTCTGCCTGTCCCATGTCATCTTCAGTTTGTCAGTTGTTGTCTTCACCATTAATATATATATGCATCATCATCATATTTTTTTTGAAGAAATTTTATTTTGATGGCGGATGTTTGAGAATTTATGAAGCTAGACATATTGTATCCATATAAGACAATTCAAGTGATGAAAATTGTAATTTTTCTTCTAGCTGTCTGTTGGTTTTTGTTTTTATTAAGGTATTTGGGTTGCTGTCATATTGAGAAATATCCACACTGCTTCAGGTGTTTACACATTACTAGCACTATTGAAAGAAATATCAATAGTCTTGATTCCAACAAAGTTAATCACAAGCAAAACAATATACCAGTCAGCTTTTCATTCCTTCTTTTGAAAAAGTTTTCCATGCTATATTTGTTATTCAAGAGTAAGTTAAGGTATAACAACTATCTTAAATAAATCAAGGAAGACTGCAGACAGGACTGGTAACCGTAAATCTTCATAAAATTCTAGAGATGAAAAAAAAAGTCAGCAGAAAGGTACATGTAGGTTTCTGAGGCTATCACTTACTTCTTTCGTTTCTTTTTCTTTTTCACTTTTTTATCTAATTCTTTTTTTTCTTCTTCCAGTTTTTTATCTACCTCGGTTTCTGTGTCTGCTTGCGTACTAATTCCTGTGTCTACTGAAAAACAAAACATACTTAATCTTTATTTCTCCGCCTCAGTTTAATAGCAAACAAAGAACATTTGATTGAGTTTTATTTCTTTTACGTCCAGTGTCGAATATTGAAGCATATTCATGATGAGAACAGTTTAATAATTTAATCAAATTGGTAGGTTCTGTAAAGTTTCTTGACAAGTGAAGGTCAGGACATTTGGCTGTCACTAGAAAAACTGGGTAATTTCAACAGGGACTAATTATTCTTCCTGCAGGCCACCAAGGGACCCTAAGAATTGTTGTAAGAGTTCTATAACATGAATGACACTGGGCATCAGATTTAAAATTTAACAGACAAAGGTGTGTAGTTATACATCCTACACAGCCAAACTGACGACTACTATTAGAATGGTTCATTACTGTCAGAAAGAAGAAGTTCAGGAAACCATAGGTATATACTAGAGTCACCAATTATAAAAGCCTTCAACAAAATTTTTTGAAAAATGTGTATTTATATGAAACATATAGCAAAAAAAGAAAGGTGACAAATACTTTTGGCCATGCACTGTAGCGAAAACCAAAAAAAGAAGATCTGAAGGATGAAAGGTCTGTTAACTTTTACGCCTGAATACTGAATGATTTCCTATTGTTCAGTAGGCATGTATGTTGTATTACAGAAATATTGATTTGAAGGGGATGTGCCCATTCCAAAGGCATTTTAACCTAAGTATTGCAATAGAAAACAACATGTTTATTCCATGTTACAATGTACAATGAACAGATGATTACAATGCATTATTTATGACAGTAATTCCCCTCCCTCATATTATCCTCAATCTTATCCATGTTTAATTCTGTTGCACAACTACTTAGTGTATGCTATAAATTGTTGATAAGGATCCTAACAATGGTTATAAGGTCTACACCTGAATTGTCTTATACTAAATCAAATAAACATGCAAACTTCAGGTAAAATATTACTGTTGACATGCGATTACATACAACATCAGATATTTGATCAAAGAATTCAGTTAATAAATGACTCCTCTGCCAATAATTTGTTAAAAAGCATGACCAAGCATTTAATATTATATAAAATAAGTAATCCTGTAAGCTTAGTAGTTGTAATCCTTTCTATATACATCATATCATAAGTACGAATTACCTGCCATATATTTTGGGGTCTATAGGTGACAAATTCTAGTCTCACTGACATAGTTGGATTCAAATATGAAATACAGGGCAGGGGCAGGGGCAGATCAAGCCATTTATAAAAGGGGGGGTTCCTAACCCAGGATAAAGGGGGGGTTTCAACTTTATGTCCCCATTCAAATGCATTGATCGTCAAAAAAAAGGGGGGTTCCAACTATATGTCCCCATTCAAATGCATTGATCGTCAAAAATAAGGGGGGGGGGGAGGGTTCCAACCTCTTTCAACTTTTGATAAATTAAGCTTTATACAAAGAGCTACTGCCGCCAGATTAGCTAGCATGCCTTTGTCTCATTGTACAACATTTGTCACAGGAGAGACAACAATAATATCTGATGGCTTGTCTCACTGCACAACATTTGTCACAGGAGAAACAACAATATCTGATGGATTGTCTCATTGTACAACATTTTTCACAGGAGAGACAACAATATCTGATGGCTTGTCATTGTACAACATTTTTCACAGGAGAGACAACAATTATATCTGATGGCTTGTCTCATTGTACAATATTTGTCACAGGAGAGACAACAATATCTGATGGCTTGTCTCATAGTACAACATTTGTCACAGGAGAGACAACAATATCTGATGGCTTTCTGGCCATGCATAGTCTACTGTTTGAATCTTAAATGATTTTAATTAGTAATGTAGGTTGCACTTCTGTAAATATTGACCATGCAATTTCCCATAGGAATTCCTTTTACGGCTAAAAAAGCCCCACTTTTACTATGAAGTTTCCTAAAAAAATATATCCTAGAATGGGAAGTTCATATCATATGCACTACCATTTTTTTTTTTCAAAGGTCAAAACATAGAGCTGTGTGGCATATTTTCAACATGAATATGCCTCGAACTTCTAAGAATTTAAACTTATACTAAAATTCTGTACTACCCCTCCCTTCACTTTGGGTCTTTGTCAGAATTTAATTTGGACGCTATCCATGTGTATCTATACTGGTAACATTCCCAAGTAATGACCATATGAGATGAAACACAGAGATCATATCTGGGAACCAGGAGGTAAACAAAACAAAAGATCTATGTATATTATATATCTCCCCAAAAGAGGCGTGGTTTGTGAAACAGCTGTATACTGTAAATTCAGGAATTTTTGCAATGTTTTTCTAAATGCAAAAAAGCAACAGTATCAGTAATTGCATTAATAAGATTTCACAGTTTTGCAAGTTGTTAAGGATTGGCATTAAAAAATGAACCCATTACTATCTGACTCAAAAGTACTTGATAACATAACTATGTTTTTGTTAGCAAAACTTTAAAATAATAAAACATTTATCAATGATTTTCTTCTAAGGTCTTAACAATGTTAAAATATATGTTGCCAAAAAAGTTTATGATCTTCAATAAATGCATTTTATGGCAACATATAACTGAAGTTTTGTAGGAGTCCATTATGATTTCAAGGTGATTATTAATTCATCATTTCCCTATAAAAGTTTGGTAACAATTTTCCCTTTACAAGAATTTTCAGAATCTAGTTTGTTGTTGTTGTTGATTCTATCTTTATTTGCTATTTTCAGTAACAGTAGCCATGTTGGTTGACAGAAATGTTGAACATTTAACAACTAGAGGTTTAGTTCTAATTGATATATAGTTTTCAGGACAAAATCTTTTTTATTAGCAAATTGTGAGAAATGGACAGACGACAGATGGCAAATGACAAACATGAGCTAAAAATGTGGAAAATTAGGTCACTCAAGCCCCTTTCAGCATATTCTCTACCTGTACAAAAATTAATGAATGGCTTACCGATAGTCATGGTAATCATTAAATCCTAATTTGAACAAGCTTTCATTTTCACAAAACAACCACATTTACCCATTTTCAAACTCTCAAAACATAAATTGATAAGGTACTTTTCTACCACTTTGTGTATAAATTCATATCAATATTTAACAATATAGTATAATACTGCATACAAAGGGAACATTAGTTTATTCTATTATGTTAAACTGTCTTAAGTAAATACAACAGAAAGAAATCAATGGCAGATTATGATTAAAGTTTGTTTAATATTTCAATATGAAGCTGAACCAAGCATGATTAGTTTCATGTTGTATCTAAATTAAAATTCAATTCTAATTTCAATTTCAATTTTAATAAGACACAATAAAAGAATTATGATCACACAAACAAATATTGTGGATTTTTAATATAGTACCACTTGGTACAAGCTAGTAATGTGAACTAGAAACACAGTCAAGTTCTTTACAAAATTTAAGAGCCTTTCAAATTATTGCTACAAAGTGCAAAACAATTTCAGAATGATTACACTTAAAATCTTGAAATAAGTTTAAATGATAATTTTCAATGTTAGTGCAGTCATAATAAATTTGAGTGAGAAATCCAATAAATCTCCTACATTTAAAACTTGTCAAACAGGATATATGTGTGATGATTTCCCTTGTTCATTCATTATGGGACCATGTTATGTCAGCTTATTACGTAAAACACTTTTTGACCTAAATGAGCCAAATTTGTGTATAGATGACTTTCGAATTCGTGCACTTTCCCGTACATTTCCTAACAATGCTTATGTTATTACGTGTCGTCACAGTAAGAAGTACTAAGAATCGATTGTTCTATGACGTAATTTATGCTGATTGACATCAGGTCAACCGGTGTGACTCATTCATAAAAAACAACTCTAGATTGGTGTATAGTGTAATGTACAAACAACTGAATTACAAATATATTAGCAAGCACAGCCATCTTAAATAAAGTAAGTTCATATAGCAACATGTGTACAACAAAACACCCCTCCATATTGGTTTCTTATCAATGTTAATGATCAGACACCATAAAGAGTTTAGACACTTGTTTTAGGAGCATATATCCTCCAATTCAGGGGAGGTAACATTATGTTTTCCAACAGCACAACAGTGGTCACAATGATAAAGCTATGGGAGGGAGACATCACATACTTATTTGTCACCTTGGAACGATGTTCTCTTTGCAATAGTATTCTGAGGCTCAAGACATCTTTTTCCATGGAAAACATATATTAAGTGTACTAAACAAAGTCTCTCTTTACTATTTTTGATAGTCTGTTTAATTCATGCCAAACTTTCTAGGCTTGGGGCAATGTAGAGCTGACATATTGTTTAGACAGCTGTCTATTTTTGATAAATGTATGTTCACCTATATACATGTATACAATGTATGTTTTGTTTTTTCATGTTATTGGGTACTGTCTGATTAAGGTATACCCAACATCTCTTTATTCATACAAAAGGCAATTATCTATTTGCTTATTTATAAGTGAATAACTTACTGTCAGCTTCCCCTTCATCCTCCTCATCTTCTGGACCCTGTTGTATGAGGATAGAAGCTCCATCCATCAAGGATAGGGTCGGTTGTCCCCCGCCATTATCATATCCTGAATCTTCCCCCTCTTCTCCATCGCTGTCATCACTGGAACTACTGCTACTATCATCATCAGCTCCCCGTGCAGTGGTTTCTCCATCGGAGAGGTAGTCCTCTGAATCCTTGTTGCTCATTCTGACTGACTTAGACAGCAGATGTTAACCTGTGATCACATAAAAAAAGAAATTCTATTACATCAAATTAGAAATGTGTTGTTTGATTAAATAAGGCTATTTCTGATGACATCTGGTAGTTTTTTTTTTACCAGGGATTAGTTTCAAAGTCTTGGCCTTACAAATTCAAAGAATCCATATTTGTACAAATAAACCTCAGTATTGATAAATATAAAAATAAGGAGATGAGGTATGATTGCCAATGAGACAACTGTCCACCAAAGTTCAAATAAAGTAGATGTAAGCGATTATAGGCAACCGTACAGCCTTCAACAATGAGAAAAACCCACACCGTGTAGTATGCTATAATAGGCCCAGACATGAAAAATATGAAACAATTCAATTGAGAAAACTAACAGCCTAATTTATAACAAAACAATTAACGAAAAACAAATATGACAGACATGAACCAACAACAACCACTGAACTACAGGCTCCTGACTTGGGAGAGGCACAATAAGAATGTGGCGGGGTTAAACATGTTTGTGAGCGCTGAAACCTCCCCCTAAGTTCTTTTTTATCATTGGAAAGTATTCAAACCACTCTAGTCTACATTTGTATCATGATCATATCCAATTATTCTGATTACATATATATTCACAAATGTAACTTCATATCATAAATTGTTTAAAATATTCATGAGAATCACTCAAATGATCTTAATCATAAATCCTAATTTGTTTTCTTATAAAATAATAAAACATCCTATAAACTATGAAGGCCTGTAGACACTCTGAAACCTAAAGTTCACCAGAGATAAAATAATAAAACATCCTATAAACTATGAAGCCTGTAGACACTCTGAAACCTGAAGTTCACCAGAGATAAAATAATAAAACATACTATAAACTATGAAGGTCTGTAGACACTCTGAAACCTGAAGTTCACCAGAGATAAAATAATAAAACATCCTATAAACTATGAAGCCTGTAGACACTCTGAAACCTGAAGTTCACCAGAGATAAAATAATAAAACATCCTATAAACTATGAAGGCCCGTAGACACTCTGAAACCTGAAGTTCACCAGAGATAAAATAATAAAACATCCTATAAACTATGAAGGCCCGTAGACACTCTGAAACCTGAAGTTCACCAGAGATAAAATAATAAAACATCCTATAAACTATGAAGGCCTGTAGACACTCTGAAACCTGAAGTTCACCAGAGATAAAATAATAAAAATACATGTATGAAGAAAGAGCTAATCTTTACTTATCTCTAGATACCTTTTTCTATAAAATAAATCTTTTAAAAATTTATGTGAACTTGTATACATACTGCATCTGTCTAAACATACTTGTACATTTTTAACAGAGTAAGAGTATCAGTTATATATATTTATAGAAATTGGAATACAATATGTTGCATCACTGAATATGGTGATCTGAACTAACTGTCAATTAGATCAATGAAAACATGGCAAAATTCTCAAATAGTCACTGACAGGTGATGGGAGACCAAGAATAGATAAAAAAAAAAAAAGCCATGGAAAGGCTATAACCTTTCAGAAAATACTATGCTGACAGAATCCAAGGATTTACTCTTACAATAAATTTTCAATAGCAAGTCAGGGAATACATGTAGTTTGGAATGTACAAAACTGTATTGGAAGTGTTAATGTGTACATGCATGATCAAAACAGAATGTAAAGCAATATCTAGTATACACTGACATGACTAAATTTACAATAAAATCTTTGTAATGTTTTATTCCTCATTAATCTTGAACTCAATTTTTCGGGAATATAATTGTTTAAAATAATACACATACCAAAGTTTTCTCTTTACTTCCTTCAAAACTTAACAAATAGGAAATATAATTATCACCTTTAATTTACACTTTCACACAAATATTTTGTCACTTTAAATTCACAAAAGACGGATTTCTAAAACTAAATAGTAAATAAACCATTCAAATGGTCTTTTATCGATTTTTCCCATTAAGTAAAACAATAAGACAGAATTAAACTAAATGTGATACTGTGATAAATGGGATTTTTTTTTAAAGGTTATAAATTTTACACATGTAAAATTCTGTTTCAGTGGATTCAAAGAATTAACAAAATCACCAAAGTCAATAAAAAAATATAGATATATATTCAGCTATTTTTTTTTAGGAAAAGGGACAACCAATGTATACTGGTCCTATGAGTATAGAATTAATGTCACTTAAACTTTTCCAGTCTCGTATTAGGGATGGGCATCTGTTTGACTTGTTTATACACAATGATGTATGATGGAAACGAATGTATTATCCAGTCTTCAAACAGTGCAAAACACATGAACCTAGCCAATTGCTTAAATGTAAAATATGTCATCGTCTTAAATCTGGCTAAAATGTTTGACACTCGACGTAAGAAAGCAACTGTAAGTTTCTTAAGTAGTCTACAGGGAGATGGAAATCTATATGAATTATTTGCCAGCCATCAGATCTTGGATTCATCTGAGTTAACAGTATGTCAGTACTTTGATATTCGATTGAAAATATTCAAAAATTGACTGGCTCAAACATGTCAGCTGGATGTCTGTGAACTAGAGTTAATGTTGATTGATTTGTAAAGTTGTGTATTTGAGGTTCTCTGGGCCATTTGTTTGTTAGTTGTCTTTGTTTGTTAGTCTGTTTTCCAGAACATAGAGGTTTTGGTGGTTGGTATTGTCTATTGCACTGGTAATTATCTTAAGTTATTCCTGGTATCCTTCTTATGAATCATTTTTCTTTTAACATTCTCAACAGGCCTAACTTAAAGATTTGTCACTATATATGTCATTATATGATGGTAGTAGCCAATTTATATGTCATGATGTTTTGTGGTGTCATGTCATGTCCAAGTTAAAATGACCAACAACCTTAACCAAAAAGATATATTGTAACAAAATGTCTTATACATAGATGTTGATAACAACCCTAAATTATATGGTACTGATGCCTTATCCTAACCAAACTTGTAACAAGATGGAAAAAGAAACTAATTACAAAATGTACGAGAAGCATCAATAAAACCTTTGATAAAAGTTAAGGACTCTAGTCTAGTATGGACTCTTAATATACCCGGTACATGTATTTCATACTTTTCTTGCAATCATAAATAAAACCTACTCATATCAAATAAATGACAACTCTATACAAAATGAAATATTCAAGTCAAAGACCTAAAGTGTTTATTTGGTTAAGTTAAGATTAATACTCTTATGCCAGTTATGGTAAACACCACCTATCTCTCTAATTGTGTTTGTCCATCAAAATTATCAATATCACCTCTATATTTCTACTATTAATACTTAATTTATGATCATTTGATATGACATGTCATGAAAGAAAAGTTATCGTTGACAAAACTTTCCAATCCCTGTTCAACATGAAATTAGGTTTACCTACTTATTCATTATAATATACTTAGGCATGGAATGTGGTTGACAATACAGTGTCAACCTATCTTAAAAAATTATATCAAAAAAAACTTCTGTTTGATTCAGACAAAAATTTGATTTCTTCTCAAATCATGATGCATTAACTTTTTTTTTGCATTCTTCAGGCAATTGTTTCTTTTTGATTCCATCTAGATGCAAGTTGAATAAAATGACAACTGTTGGTCAAATATGCCAAGAAATGATATTAATTGACATTTTTACAGTTACTTTGCCAGGTTATATATTTTTTTTTAAATTGGAAATAAAACAAATATAATTTTGAATCGTTTATGTATTGTTTTATCAAACTTACTAATGATAAAAGTCATTAATATATGGCACTGATGTGAGAAACCTTTTTTCACAAATAAATCAAAATTTACCAACAACTATCTAAAATTTTCACAGCATATACATGGATGCCATTCAGGATAAAATTTACCAAAAACATATGATGAAAGCAAAATTTTATTTTTATCTTATGTTTTTTGAACCTTTATTTTCTGCATGCAGAATAGTATGATCTGTGAAATACATTATGTATAATAATAATGTTAGTATTACCGTCTAATAACATAGGTTTTCATCTGACATCATCAGATATAATTCTCATAAGATTGTGTTAATTGGAAAATGAACAAATGGCAAATTAAAGAAATATTTTGGGAAATTTGTTGATAATTTGATTTGTACACAAATAAGATGTAGTATGATAGCCAATGAGAATCTTTAAACAGATACTCTTTTAATTCAATTACTGAAAATTGAAAAATATGAATATGAACTAATAATGATATATTTATAAAATTTTCTCCCACTAAATTCTAAGAGTTACCTGTTTTGACTAATGAAAAGCATTTTTTCACTATTTCTCAGTTATCTAAAGAGCATAAAACATTATCCAGGAACCATGATTATTTTATGATCACCAATCTTACAAATATTTAATCCCAAAGTTATAAATTCACTGATCTACCATGATATTATCCAAAGAGAAAATAAAACACTTCAACAGTATATGATATACTTTAAATATGGTTTTCTGGCTACTTCTTCAAACCTTAAAGAACTTCAAATATTGATATCTGTTAATGTGATGTTTATATTGACTTTTCTGTTGATAAAAATGGTCTAAAGAAAATTGACTTATTATATTCACAGACTATACACAGAGGAATTGACAAGTTCAGTTTTACAAATACCATCCAAGTTGTACTATAGGTCTTTATACATTTATGTGTTAACATTATTGATCATTTCCCAGCCTTTTATTGTTCCACCATACAGATCTTAAATAAAGACATTTTACCGTGTTCTTTTCACCAAGAGATTATTATATTCACGGCACAATGATCACTATATATATATCGTGTATTAAATTGGAAAAATTCCAGCATGAACAAAAATAATATGTAAAGACAATAAGATATTTAAACTGAACAGAATTAGTTTTGTTAATTTATATTCAATAAAAAGATTTAACTTTTAGAATGAGAGGTCGATCAAACACAAATGAGTCAAAACCTAATTGTATATTTTTTGTGAAACCTTAGAGAGTCAACAATTATAAGCAAAAACCATGTACAAAATAGGTCTTTAATAAACTTTTCTAATTGAATATAACAATTGCCATGAAATATAAGCTACCAAAAAACAGTACTTTCTTCTTGTTTATGGATATCTGATATGCTTTTAAATATGTATATACATAGTTAACTAGGTGAAATTATGGTCAGTGGGCCATACTAATTTTCAGGGATGACATCCATGTTTCCTAAAAGAGATTCATCATCTTGACATCTATTTTTTAACGGAAAACTCAATACTAAAATTTACGATAAAAGAGATAATTTTTCATTTCCTATTGTTAATAATCCATTTTTAGATGGTGACCTTCCCTTGGCACCATCCTATGGCTATGGCGTTTATATATTTTTACTTATTCGATTCGCTTGTGTATGTAACAATGTGTTTGATTTCAATGAAAGAAATCTTTGTATTACTGAAAAATTATTACACAAGTGTTTTGGCAAACTTGTCAAAACATTCACTAAATTTTATCATCGGTACAAGGTCATCATTCGTAAATATAAATCAACATGCAGACATCTTATACGTTCAGGTATTTCACATCCAATCTTTTACGGTAATATTCTATAAAAAGCACAAAAATGTCGTCATTCACCTCAAAAGCTAACCAAACCTTTAAACAGACTTATTCAGAAGTGATATAGTTACAATACTGTTGTCAAGTCATTATAGATGGCATTTTTTGGAAATAATATTGATTCACTCATAGGGTCTTTGCATCAGAAATAAACACATTTATTCTAAAACCAATTGTTAGCATGATATGGGTTATGTTCTTATCGCATATTTTATGGTGGTATGATACTAAACCCCTAACGGGAGGGATTGTGCTTGATTTTCATATGAAGAAGACATAATCTTTCAGTCAGACTCAGAGGTCTGGAGCTGGCACGTCAGTAACTGCTAGTAGTCCTTTGTTAATTTATTTTGATTATTGTCATTTTGATTAGTTTCTTCTGTTACCTATTCTAACATCAGACTCAGACTTCTTTTGAACTGAATTTTACTGTGTGTATTGCTGTGTGTTTGTATATTCCACATTGGCTAGAGGTATAGGGGGAGGGTTGAGATCTCACAAAACAGTTTAACCCTGCCGCAATTTAGTAAATGTTTTGACTAGTTTGTGATATCGAAAACCATGGTGTAATAATTTTTCAGTAATACAGAGGTTTCTTCCATTAAAATCAAATACATTGTTACATACACGAGCGAATCAAACAAGTTGAGATATATAAACACCATAAGATGGTGACAAGGGAACGTCTACATGCATAGCTAACCTTTATTGCTGCTTTAATATGAGGTAGGTGTTACCTGTGAAAAACATTGAATTTGTATAAAAAGCTATGCAAAACAGCTTTATTTTTTTCAAAAATCATTTATAAAATAATTTTGAAACTAATTACAAAGGATATATCAATTAATTTTACTCAATGTAATGACATCACAAAAATCATATGAAAATAACCAGTTACATACATGTATATACATATTAAATGGAAATATGGTACATGTAGATACCACATATATCATAATCATGGTCTTTATGTATATGATTGATGCTTGAACAATAAAATAACTGGGTTTACAAAATGGTTTACCAAAAATTTATGAATTTCTCGCATAAATTCTGTTGAAAGGAGAGCTGAAATACAAACCGTTCCTGATGTTGGTCATGCTATGAGACATTTTACTTATGATGTCATTTCTTATCTTATTAAATTATCATATATTATAATTTTATGGTAGCTGTACATGGAAGCAAAGAAGATAGGCACATCAGCATGTTATTAATCTGCTTAGTGCATTTATAAAAATCTCCATTATAAATCAGGTGAGTATGCTCTGAAAATTGAAATTGTTTTGCAATATTCCTATCTCATACAAGAGTGCACACACTGAATGTCTTGCCTGCTTTACTATTCATAATCAATGTTATGTTGATAGTCGTAAAGATATGTTTTACTACAGGTATCATATAAACTTAACATTATCAATGATACATGAAAATGAGGTCAAGGTCATATAAACCAAGCCAGGCAGCCTTTTATAGCTGACTATGCGGTATTGGTTTTGCTCATTGTTGAAGCCTGAACGTTGACCTATAGTTGTTAATTTCTGTGTCATTTGGTCTCTTGTGGAGAGTTGTCTCATTGACAATTAGACCACATCTTCTTATTTTTATATGTACACCTTACAATCATTTCATACATCAAATATACTTGACACAATTGTTTATACATGTAGTATCTTCAAAACAGACTTATCAAGGAACACTTATATAATTAACCTTGACCAATGAACCATGAAATGAGGTCAGGGTTAGATGAACCCTGCCAGATAGACATTTTAGTCTTAGATACATGATTTTTTTTAAAAGTTGTTATTGGCTTTGAACTAGCTGTCAGTAACTGTGAGTACTCTCAGAACTGTACTTTTGTTTCTTTTTGGTTGTGAGGGATGTATAAATTCCCTGCCACGTCAAAGGTTTGTTTTTGTTAGATGTTTTTTCTGCTTGGTATTGATCTAATGAGTTAAGCCTTTTTCAACTGATTTTCATAGTTTGTTCAAATGTTGTGCCGTTACACCACTGTCCTAGGTTAGGGGAGGTTTGTGTTTAACCCAGCAACATGCTCTTTGTCCCTGTCCCAAGTCAGGAGCCTTGGCCTACTTTGATTTGTCCAACTTGGGTTGACTAGAGTTATAAAATCAGAGCTAATGTGCATGTGTGCAGCCTTCCCAAATCAAAGTGAAAACTCTACTAGAGTTGACTCGCAAAGTGGAAGATATGAGTATATAACAGCGGTGTTGTTAATTTTCATTTTATGTTTACATTTATAACATTAATATATCAAAGAACAAGTAAGGGGAATGAATTATCGTAATTAATTCAAAGTACCGAAATTATGTCTTTTTCTGTTCTTTTGATAAACATCACTGACAGTATTTATGTTCTGGACAATATAAGTACTTACGCATATGGTCGGACCAAATGAGTATTTACTCGTTTTAGATATTAACGAACAGGACCATATGAGTATTTAGACCATATAGGTATTTTTCGAATATATTCTAAATGGACTTTTTTCTTTTTCCCCCCGTTATTTAGATAATTTAATTTTTTAATTCTTTTAAATTTTACCTTTTTTCACTTAATTGAAGTGTGTTTGTTCCTATTCATACAATCTTACAATAACAGTAGTTCATACATAAAAACAAAAAGGGACAGCACATTTAAACTACTGTGATAAATAGGAGCATGAACACATTAAAGATCATTAAATAGTTAAAAATAATTTAAGATATTAAAACAGATATTTACTAAAATTAAATTAAAACATCAAAATAAAGGAAATACCCCAAGTACCTGTGATTTAATATTAACAGTTGACTTCTTGTTAAAAGGTACATTTAAATATTTCTTGAAGTTATATTCCAAAGTCAAAATCGACAGATATTGTGTTTTGTAAGGACAAGTAGAAAATTACCATGTAAAAATGCTTAAACTTAAATTTTAATTTGAGTAAAATTATCTTTATTTCATTAATCATGTAACAATGGTTGCCATTTGATGTAATAAGTCACAATTAAAAACTCTTAATTAATGACACCTTGAAGGTTTGTACATTAGGCAACGTCCATCGTATAAAACACCCCGACAATACGCGTATGGTCGAACCATATGGTCATGACCATTTGCGTATGGTCCAAATACTCAAATGGTCCGGAAAATCTTCACATGAAAAATATTTGTTAATGCCAAAATCCAACCAAAATATAAATTTCAATTATTTTTTTAAACAGGCCTTTTCTTTGGCTGTATTTTGTATAATACTCTTTTTTGCTGTTCTTGTTGGTAAGCATTTTGTAACTCTTCAAACCTGCCTCAACCCAGGGTTGATAGAGAGTTAACTCGGGTAGGTTCAAATGGTCAAACTCGGGGGGTTTCTATTGAAAATCCACAAACTCTACTAACCAGAGTTAGACGAATAGAAGTAGGCCCTGTTGTTATATTTGTTTTTTTCGTAAATTGTTTTGTTATAAATTAGGCTGAAAATTTTCTCAATTAAATTGTTTCATATTTTTCAAGTCTGGGTCTTTTACACGTCATGTAGCTGACTATACTGTCATGGTATTTCTCATTGTTGAAGGCTATATGGTTGCCTCTAATTGCTTACATCCACTTCATTACAACTTTGGTTAATAGTTGTCTCATTGACAATTATACCACATCTCTTTATTTTACATGTACACTAAAGATGACCTATTACTTGTAGTATCTTAAAAAAAAATTACCTTAATACCGAAACTTAACATTGACCAATAAACAATGAAAATGAGGTTAAGGACAGATGAATCATCAAAGATGATACCTGCAAGACAGATATGTACATATCACAATCTGTCCATACACCAAATATAGTTGACCTATTGCTTAAGGTATAAGAAAAACAGATCAAAACACAAAAACTTAGCATTGACCAATGATTGAATGAACCGTAAAAATGAGGTCAAGGTCATATAAAATCTGTCAGACTGACATGTACCCCTTACAATCATTCCATACACCACATATAGTTGACCTAATGCTTTTAGTATACATATATATGAGAAACGACCTAATCATCTAACTTT